TTTTTTTTTTTTTTTTTTTGGTACCAGGGATCAAACTCGGGCCCTTGTGCTTGTGAGGCAGGCAGTGGAACCACTGAGCCAAATCCCCAGCAGAGGCAGTTCTTACTAAATTGCTCAGCTTGGACTTCAATTTGTGATCTGCCTGGTTCAGCCTCCTGAGTGGCTGGGATTACAGGAATAGACCACTGCATCTGGCTCTCTTTTTTTAATTATGGAAAATTTCTAGACCAGGTGTAGTACATGCCTGTAATCCCTGTACTTAGGAGGCTGAAGCAGAAAGATGGCCATGAGTTTGAGGCCAGCCTGAACTACATAGCAAGACCCTGTCTCATAAAACCAGACACACGTGTGAGCAGGCACTCAGAGTTACAGGGGAACATCTGGTGGTGTGGGCTTGGCTTTGGTCAATCTGGTGGTATCACAGGATCCCCATGCTTCCTGGGATGGGTGGGTGAGATAAGCAGGAGCATGAGCCACTTGCTGGTGACAAAGCAGGGAGCATCACTCATGAAACATGGTGTAAAAGTGGGGTAGGCTCTGCTCCCTAGTGCTGTACACCCAGACACTTCCAGGCAAACTGAGGGGCCCCTGGAGAATGGAAATGAAGTACTGGTTCCCTCCCTGTGAGGGCCAGTCCCTCCTCATCCTTCTCTCTCTGAGGCCTCCTAGGACCTTCACATTGTAGGGAGTGCTAGGGAGTGGTGTTTCTGTCTCTCAGGGTCTGGGTCTGGGTCTGGCCAGTATTCAGTAGAAGCTCTCGTATTCAGGCATTTAGAGGGGGCAGAGCTGGAGGAAAGGCCTTGGGGAGGGGGCCCTCTGTGCCTGCCATAAGCCCATGGGTCTTTCTCTCAGGTGGCAGCTACAGTTCTTCCCATGGCTGCTGTCCCGGTCTAGGAAAGAGCTGTCAGAGTTGGGGCAGCTTAGAGCAAGTGGGCGGGAGAGGATGATGAGGCAGGGCAGGCATGGTGGCCCAGAGCAGCTGGAACAGGAGGAAGGGCAGCTGGAGTGAGGTTGCAGGATGGCCAAGAAGGGCTGGGCTAGGAAGGAGCAGTACTGGGCTTACTGTCTTGGAAGTGGACAGAAGTGGGTAGTGGCAGGCCACTCCTGAGATTCCTTAACTAGCTTCATTCATGATACAGGTTTTTAGTAGTGGCTAGACAGGTGGAGATTCAGGCCTGGCCTCCTTTGTGGAGCTCTTGTCCTCCCCCGTGCAGCCCTTGTCCTCTCCCCTTGGCTACCCCTTCGGCCTTGGGCTAGGGTGGCTACAGGCCTTCTTATTTGAAAGTGGACTTCAGCTCCCTGAAGGCCATTTTCTGCTGGTTCCTCTGCTTCAGTTGCTGCTTCTTTTCCTTCTGCTCTGCCTTGATCTCCTAAGTGGCTGGGCTTGTTTTTTTGTTTTGTTTTGTTTCTTTTGAGACAGGGTCTCCCTATGTAGTTGAGACTGACGTGGTACTCACTATGTAGCCCAGGCTGATCTCCAACTCACAGCGATCCTCCTGCCTCAGCCTCCCAAGTGCTGGGATTACAGGCATGTGTCACTATGCCCGGCTCTTTAGTCATTTCTTGACCCTCATCCTTAATGTACCTTGTGGAAACGTCTAGCAGAATATTCATAGCATTTGGTGGCAGCTGTTTGCTTGCATGCCTGCCTCATCCTCCTAGATTAGAAAGTCCTAGCATGTACTAGGTCTTGGGTTTAATCACTTACACCTGCCAATAAAAAAAAATAAAATTCTTTGAGGCACAGATTAGGGTATTTTTTTTTGTATGCATGTAGTAATATGTTTCTTATTCTTGGCATAAAATAAAAGCTGCTTTTTGCCTACATTTTATGTATTACAAAATTAGGGTTCAGAGAATGTACACTATATTGTCAGTATATAGAACTAATTAATGAAGCATTTAACAGCTCATTTCAGTACTGTTTTCATTGTGATACCTCTCATAAGTAAGACTATTAGACCAGTGATTCTGTTCTTAGCCTATGGATTAGAGTCCTCTTGAGGTGTTAAGAGCTCCCATGTGGAAGTCTGCAGAGTTGATGTGCATTTTCTATAGACTGTGGTAACATAATGTATGTCTATATGTCACCATTTTCTTTCAGTGTGCACCACGGCTTTGTAGTGAAGTAGACATACTGATAATATTTTCAAAGGAAAGTGATACAAGGGACTTAACAATGGAAGAAATTTAGAATAAGGGCTTTGTATAGTTAGTTGGGAAATTGACAAAGTATAGAAAGTGTTTCTTGGAAGCAGTAGGTTAGATGGTAATACTCGAAACTTTCCCAAGTTATCAATAATTTATTAAAATAAAAAAGTTGGACACAGTGGCATGTGCCTTTAGTCCCAGTTAGTTGGGAGATTGAGGCAGGAGTCCCTGGAACTCAGAAGTTCAGGGCCAGCCTGGGCAACATAAGTGAGAGCCCATTTCTTAAAATAAACAAACAAACAAATAAGAAAGACTGTTCAAAAATTGATGAATCATAATTTAAAATTGTTAATCTACACCAGGTGTTGTGGCCAACGCCTATAATCCAAGCACTGTAATCTAAATCTTAATGTACTCTCCTAACCCCTTTGATGTTAGAAAATAATTTCCATGATGTAAACTTTCAAAATTTTGTCTTTTTCTCTTAGTGATTGGCCTTTGAACCTTTCCCACATCTGAAGATGGTGAAGTTAGATATTCATACACTGGCCCATCACCTCAAGCAGGAGCGCTTGTACGTGAACTCTGAGAAACAGCTCATTCAGAGGCTCAATGCAGATGTACTTAAGACTGCTGAGAAGTTGTATCGTACAGCATGGATTGCGAAGCAACAGAGAATTAATTTGGATCGGCTCATCATAACCAGGTAAAGAAAAGATTTTCAGATCATATATTTTGTGAACCATTATAATTCTGTGCTGATTGTGAACTGTAACTAAATGAAGTACACACTACATACTTTAAATCAGTGTTAAGATGAGTCTTTGCTTATAAAACATGCATACTTTATTAGTTAAATGTGGCTATAGAAAACCATAGCTTTGCTGGGCATAGTGGCACATGCCTGTAATCCCAGTACTTGAGAGGCTGAGGTAGGAGGATCACTGGGAGTTTGAGGCCAGCCTTGGCTACATAGTGAGTTCAAGGCCAGCCTGAACTGCATAGTGAGACCTCATCTCAAAAAAACCAACAAAACAAAACAAAAAACCATAGATTAAGCATTAACATTTTACCTGACACTAAGTTAGTTTTGTGTCTTTGTATATGTAACATTCTGTTGCACAGAATAGTCTTACGTTTTACTTTTCTTGTATTTAAATATACATTTTTGTATTTTGATATTGTGTATCTACTTTTCAGGTTTAGAAACCATTTATACATTGTGTTAATACCTTATTTTCTGTTGTCTTAAGCAGTTTTATTTTTTTTTATAGCATTTTTAACTTTAAGAATAATAGTGTTAGCCAGGTGTGATGACGTATGTCTATAATCCCAGTTCTATGGGAGACTAAGGCAGGAGGATCCCAAGTTCAAGTCGCATCCTGTGCAATTTAGTGGCTTAATGACACCCTTTCATTAAAAAAACAAAAGACCAAAATCTAAAAACTGGGAAGCTGGGATGTAGTTCAGTGCAAATGCTCCTGGTTCAATCCTCAATAAAAAAATAAAAAGTAATGCTGCAGTATGTTAAGAAGCCAGATACAAAAGAATACTGACTGTATGATTCTATTTATATGAAATTTAAAAAGAGACAAGAGCTGGGCATGGTGGCACACACCTGTAATCCCAGCACTTGGAAGGCTAAGGCAGGAGAATCATTGGGAGTTTGAGCCATTTGAGGCTACATAGTGAGTTCAAGGCTGGACTGCATAGTGAGATCCTGTCTCAGAACACCCCTTAAAAAAAGAGACAAAGAGGGCCAGGAATTTAGCTCAGTGGCACTGCGCCTGCCTTGCAAGTACAAGTCCTGAGTTCAATTCCTGGTACTGGGGAAACAAAAAAGACAGGAATAATCTTTCAAAATGGAAATCAGAGTAATGGTTATTAATGTCACAAAGTGATACTAACTGGGAAGGGGCATGCAGAAATATTTGGGGTACTCTAAATTTTCTTTTGAACACATGAAATGAAAAACACATTTTACTGAACTTGACTTACAAGAAGATAAAACTTTTCAGAGCCAGGGATATAGCTCAGTGGTGCTGCACCTGCCTGGCAAGCACCAGGTCCTGAGTTCCATCCCTGGTACCGAAAAAAAAAAAATCAAGAAAATAAAACTTCTTAGTGAATTAAACCATAGGCACAGTCCCTTTAAAGGTTGTTTTCCTCTTTCATGTCATGTTGTTACATAACTAAAATTAACCAACTTGAATATAATTGTTTTAAATCAGACTATAAATACAACAAACAAACAAACAAAAAATAAATAGGAGGAGGAAGAAAGACTGTCCAGGATACACTGTTAAATCATTTCACAGTGCATCTTGAGCTGTGGCTCCTGGAGAGTGAGGTGCACTATCTGACTTTCACTCTTCACTGATTTGCATGTGGTGTCCTTCACCACAGAGACTCATCCTTCTTCTTTTTTGGTGCCAGGGATCAAACTTAGGTCCTTGCGCTTGCACAGCAGGCGGCAGCACCACTGAGCTAAATCCCCAGCCCTAATCCTTCCTTTTTGGTCAGTTACTCCGCAAGAACACTTTAACAATTGTTTTCTCAAATACTGTAAAATGTTAAGACTGACCAGCACCTTTCGTTTGTGTTTATATATCTTAAAAATATTTTGTCAATTTTACTGAGTACATTTATTCATTTACCACATCCCTTAAAAAGTTTTCCACAGCTCTGTTCCAAGGAATGTGTTTTAATTTTTTTTGCCCATATTAAAGAAAATAAACTTTTTATGCATTCTCTTTACCTACAGGAAAAATTCACTCTTTATTATTTGAAACTCTTCCATTCTCAGCTTCCTAGAGGCACAGATGGTCCAAGTTCAGTGGTAAAAACTTTTTTTTCCGTAGCCAAACTAGAGCAAATTTGGAATTCAGTCTGGGTATTGTTTTGTTGGTGAGATGAGATCTTACTGTGTTGTCAAGGCTGGTCTTAAACTCTGGGACTCAGCTGATCCTCCTACCTCAGCCTCCCAAGTAGCTGAGACTATAGGCATGTGCCACCGTTTTTTGTTTGTTTTGAGACTGAGTCTTTCTATACATAGCGTAGTACAGTGTGGTCTTGTACTTGAATATTTATACACTTTCTTGTGTCCATAAATAAGCATTTTTGTTTGTTTTTTGTTTATTTTGGTACTGGGGATCGAACTCAGGATTTGGCGCTTGCGAGGCAGTCGTCAGAACCACTGAGCTAAACCCCTGACCCCAACAAGCAGTTTTTAAGTGTAGCAAAATTTAAATTTAATTCATAGAGTGCAGCCATGGCAATAGTTGTTAGAACCTATAAACTGATACTTTTTATTGAACTTAATATGAAGGATTGGCCTTTTTTGTACTTTTTAGTTTTGTCTATCTTTACTCATTCACATCATATTAATCTAAAATATTGTAGTAATTGAGAGTGGCCCCATTCTTGGGACTATAATCTGCTCATATTCCCATGTTTCAATATAGTATGTGTGTTATATTATTACTGATATTATTTTGCTTGTTTCCTTTTTTTCAGTGCTGAAGCATCCCCTGCTGAATGTTGCCAACATGCCAAGATTTTGGAAGATACACAGTTTGTTGATGGATATAAGCAATTGGGATTTCAGGAGACTGCTTATGGCGAATTCTTGAGTCGATTAAGGGAAAATCCTCGTCTTATTGCCTCCTCTTTAGTTGCTGGCGAGAAACTTAATCAGGAGAACACACAGAGTGTTATTTACACAGTTTTTACCTCCCTGTATGGCAACTGTATTATGCAGGAAGATGAAAGCTACCTCCTTCAGGTTTTGCGATACTTGATTGAATTTGAACTTAAAGAAAGTGACAACCCCAGGCGACTTTTGAGGAGAGGAACTTGTGCCTTCAGTATCTTATTTAAACTTTTTTCTGAAGGACTGTTTTCTGCCAAACTTTTCCTCACAGCTACTTTACATGAGCCAATAATGCAATTGCTTGTTGAAGATGAAGATCATCTAGAAACAGATCCAAACAAGCTAATTGAGAGATTCTCTCCATCTCAGCAGGAAAAACTCTTTGGGGAGAAAGGCTCAGACAGATTCAGGCAAAAGGTTCAGGAGATGGTGGATTCCAATGAGGCCAAACTGGTGGCTCTAGTGAACAAATTTATTGGTTATCTCAAACAGAATACATACTGCTTTCCACATAGTCTCAGGTGGATTGTATCACAGATGTACAAAACCCTGTCCTGTGTGGACAGACTGGACATAGGGGAGGTCAGAGCGATGTGTACCGATCTCCTGCTGGCTTGCTTTATTTGTCCTGCAGTTGTCAATCCAGAACAGTATGGAATAATTTCTGATGCTCCCATTAATGAGGTGGCACGATTTAATCTGATGCAGGTATGCTTTTGCTATTATTACTTTAAAATCAGTTTATTTGGGTAGGAGGCATGGGAACAGAAAATAAGACAATGTTTATATCTTCTTGCCATACATTTTTCTCAAACTATGCTGAAATGAAAGCAATCATACTGGGATTTTTAAATACTGTAGTTATAAAACATTCTGTGTTTTTAAATGGAGTCCTCATACTTAAATGTGTAGCTGGTTCAATTTTCTAAAACAAGTTTTTACCACCCCAGCCCCCTTTTTTTGATACTGGAGATTGAACTCATGGCCTTGCACTTGTGAGGCAGGCGGCAGAACCACAGCTAAACCCCTGGACCCTGTTTCCCCTTTTATTGAATTCACTGTGTAGCTCAGACTTCTTTGAACTCATGGCGTTCCTCCTTTCTTAGCCTCCCAAGTGCTGGTGTTACAGGAGTGCACCACCATGCTCAATGACTATCCCTTTTCTATAATTTAAAAATCCACAACTATTGAAAGCTGAGTGTCCTTTATACCTCATTTGGTAAAGGAAACCTGAGCTGAACTAATATGAGGCTATTTATAATTGGTATTCCTTTTATTGCTAGTGAATATTTAGGTTTTGTTGTAATGTGTTTGACTCTAGGGCTCTACAGTACTAGATGTGATACACTCTTGGATTTGATACACATTGCCTTTCTAAAAACCTCTATTTTTTTCATTGAGTTAATTGTTACTTTTTTTTTTTTTTTGGAGGGTACCGGGGATCGAACTCAGGCTCTTGCACTTGCAAGGCAAATGCTGGAACCACTGATCTAAATCCCACTTTAAAATGACTTTCTTTTTTTCTTGGTACCGGGGATCAAACTCAGGACCTTGCGCTTGCAAGGCAGGCAGTGGAACCACTCAGCTAAGTCCCCAGCCCTTTATTGATACTTTTTAAGTGTACAGTACAGTTATATTTATCATTGGGATCTTGTACCTTTAAATGACAGATCTTGGTTCTCATTTTTTTCCTCATTCCTCTGCCTTCCCTTCACCCCCTCCACCCTTCCCTATTTACAAAGACTTTGTTTCCTTTTTTTTTCTTTTCTCAGTGGAACCACTCAGCTAAGTCCCCAGCCCTTTATTGATACTTTTTAAGTGTACAGTACAGTTATATTTATCATTGGGATCTTGTACCTTTAAATGACAGATCTTGGTTCTCATTTTTTTCCTCATTCCTCTGCCTTCCCTTCACCCCCTCCACCCTTCCCTATTTACAAAGACTTTGTTTCCTTTTTTTTTCTTTTCTCATATGTTTTCTTTTCCCTTACTTCCTTTCCCCTACCCCTCCCACTTTCCCTGCCTTTCTAAAATCTCTAAATGCTGAAATCTCAAATACTTGTAGATCTAGGAGTTTCATAAAGAGGATATTTTGATGTCTGTTCCTGCTATCTCTGATTATCTGAACTACTGAAGTCATGTCTTTATTTCTGCTGGGAATATTTTGATCATATTTTAATGTGTTTGTTGGTGCTGGGAATTGAACCCAGGCACACATAATAAGAATGTGTTCTACTACTGAGCTTCACCCCCAGCCTTTTATCATATCCCCCACTGTAGTGAAGAGATCAGATAGACCATCTTTGGATTTATTTTTTAGGTAATGAACCTTTTTTTTTTCACGATTCGTTGTGTCATCTTGGGGTATTCAGCGATTCACTGTATAGAAATCCCTAAAATAAAATTATTAATTTATTGGCATCTGTGAATCACATTCATAGTTTTACTTTCACCATTTCTTTTTTTTTTTTTTCGGTACTGGGGATCAAACTTGGGACCTTGTGCTTTCGAGGGAGACGGTGGAACCACTGAGCTTACTCCCCAGCCCACTTTTCATCCTTTCAGTGAAGATTGAATTTCTATTTTCAAAATGAGTGGAATGAGAGTTCCTTTCAGATACTAAAAAGATGATTCTATAGTGATATTTACTTTCAGCATGTTGTCCTTAAAGAGATTGGATTAACAGTTACTTTTGGCAGTAAGAAACTTGCTCTGTGCATTAGCATTTACTTAACTGTTCTTTTTTTTTTTTTTGATACTGAGGATTTAACTCAGGACCTTGAGCTTGCAAGGCAGGCGGTGGAACCACTGAGCTAAATCCCTGACCCCAACATTTACTTTACTGAGCAGCTTATGTTCTGTGGGAATTGTTTGCTTTTATTAGGTAAAGACTATTCCATCTTGAATGCTTGCTTTAGGGACCCTGTAGGAAAAACTTCTTCATATTAACTTGAAGTAATTTAATGAGTAATTTTTATAAATTTAAAAATTCCTTTAATTTAACATGTCAGAAGCAAATGTATTATATTTTAAATTTTCTTTACTTTTTTTTTTGATACTGGGGATTAAACTGAGGACCTTGCGCTTGTGATGCAGGTAGTGGCACTACTGAGCTAAAAACCCGGCCCTCCTCTCCATAACTCTTAATCTGACATGACATGATTGGTACACATTTTATTGGGGAGACACTATTTTGAATGCCTAATCATATTGGTGTAAATATTATGAAATAGATTTTAAGATGAGAACAGGAATGCTTTCACAGAGCAGAAGCTGTAAGTGTGTATAGCTTGTGTATGCCACTGTTTTGGGCTGCAGGTTGGCCGCCTGTTGCAGCAGTTAGCAATGACTGGCTCCGAAGAAGGAGATCCCCGAACGAAAAGCAGCCTTGGAAAATTTGACAAAGTAAGAATGAGCACTGTGCTCTGTGAAGTATTGTTCATAGAATACCTTTGTGAGGTATTAGTGAACCTGTTTTCTTTTATTTTTTTCTTTCTTTCTTTTTTTTTATTTTTGAGACAGAGTCTTGCTTTGTAGTTCAGGCTGGCCCTGAACTCACTATGTACAGCTCAGGCTGGCCTCAAACTTGTGGCAGTCCTCCTGCCTCTGCTTCCTGAGTGCTGGGATTACAATTCTGTGCCACCACGCCCAGCAGTGAACCTGTTTCCTTTATTAAATCTTGTCCTTAGATGATATATAAATAAATAAATAATACAGTAATTATATTTTTAATTAGCTACATTATTGATTTAGCAGCATTTAAATTTAGAACAGTTTGACTAGAGATTAGTTTTTTTTGAAGCAGGGTTTACTTTATAACACAGGCTGGCCTCGAACTTGCAGCCACCTTCTTCGTGTCCCAGCCTCCTGAGTGCTGGGATTATAGGCAAGTGCCACCACGCTTGCTTGGCTCACTAGAGATTACTAACTCTCCTTTATTAAAGTAACAAAGAGTTGTCATTGTAAGAAGAATCAAAGTACTATTATTTTATTTTTTAAAGTTTATTTTAAAAAATTGCCAGGTGAGCAAGGTTGGTACACACCTGTAGTCCCAGCATCTGAAAAGGTGAAGCAGGAGGGATCACTGTGAATTCAAGGCTAGCCTGGGCTCCATAGTTCAAGGCCAGCCTGAACTATATAGCAAGACCCTATCTACAAACAAATAAACAAAATTGCCACTAAATTAAATCTGTAGTTATATCAACCATCAATAATTTGTATAATTTTTAGTGTCTTTCATAAATTAACATTTATGCATTGTTTAGTTTGCTTAAAATAAAAATTTTATCAGATTTTAAGTAGGCTATACAGAACATTCAACTTGGTACTTGGTTTAAAAAATTAAAGATTATACAGTGAAATTTGCCTTTCATTTTTCATCTCTAGTCTTTACATCCTCCAAAAGGTTCTGGAAGTTACTAGTCTTTTGTGCATCCTTCTAGAGGTCTGTAATTATATAAGCAAATTCCTACATATATTCTCCCACTCACCACTTCCCTCCGTTTTTCAGAAATGGTAGGCATAGTGTGTATAATGTTCTGTAATGTTTGTTTTGCTTGCCAGAATATTTTGAGAATATTCTGTATCAATACATAGTTTCATTTCTTTAAATGTTGGATTTTTAAATAGTTTTCAAGACCTCAAACTTTTTTGGTGCTTCTCCACTTTAATCAGAAGTTTTATTCTAGTATTTTAAAGTTGAAGTATTTTACTTTGATCTTTTTCTAATTTAACAGAGCTGTGTTGCTGCTTTCCTTGATGTTGTGATTGGGGGCCGTGCAGTGGAGACGCCTCCAATGTCCTCTGTTAATCTTCTGGAAGGGTTGAGCAGAACTGTAGTTTATATAACCTACAGCCAGCTTCTTACTCTGGTAAATAGAATTTTCTCAAAATTCTTTCAGCTAAGAATGAGCAGAGTAATAGATGAGTACCTTGTGTCAGAAATACATACTATACTTGAAAAATTGATTCCACTGGCTAATGTCCTTTGCTTTTGCCAGGTGAATTTTATGAAGAGTGTGATGTCTGGAGATCAACTGAGAGAAGATAGAATGGCTCTTGACAATTTGTTGGCAAACCTACCCCAGGCTAAGCCAGGAAAAAGCAGCAGTTTAGAAATGACTCCCTACAGTACTCCTCAGCTCTCTCCGGCAACCACCCCAGCAAATAAGAAGAATCGATTACCTATTGGTAATGAGGATTTCTTATAAGGCTTTTCTTTAATACTTCTTTATTAGCCCTTCTTTGTGTTTTGCAATATAGTTTTAAATATTTTGGAAATGTCTTTCTCTTCATGTTTATTGATGGTATTTTAAATTTTAAAAGCCATACCAGATTAGTTAAGGTTTATCTGTAGGCTTTACTTTTAGCTAGACGTATTTTTCATAATTTATTGAAATCATGTCACCTGAAGTAAACTTTGGATTTTAGTGTCTTTTCTTTAAAATATATATCATTGGTTGTAAGTAGTCTTTTTTTTTCCCCCTCAGTGCTGGAGATTGAACTCAGGACTTTGCGCTTGCGAGGCAGGCACAGTACCACTGAGCTAAATCCCCAGCCGTAATTCTTAAAATTAGGTAGCACACTCTCTTCTACAAAGTTCCAAGTAATGTAATAAACAATTCTTTATGTGTGTGTATTTATGGCACTGGTGACAAACATCCAAAGCCAGTAATGGCAAATTTTTTAGAGCTTTCAGTGATACAGACAGCCAGCTGCAGGACACGTGCCATAGGTTCACCGTCGCTGTTAGCTAGGGAGATGGTTTACCACTGAACCATACAGAAAGTCCCTGACCTACAAACCTTCAAGTTGCAAACTTTCAAGAGGTGCTGTGAGCTGGGCGTGGTGGCGCACACCTGTAATCCCAGCACTCGGGAGGCTGAGGCAGGAGGATCACTGTGAGTTCGAGACCAGCCTGGGCTACACAGTGAGTTCCAGGTCAGTGTCAAGTACATAGTGAGAGTCTTGTCTCAAAAAAACCAAAAAAAAAAAAGAGGTACTGTGACTCACTGTCAGCTTACAAACAAATCCAACTTACAAGCAATTCTCTTGCAATGAAACTTGTTTATAGTGGACCTACTACTATATTCCCAGTCCAAAATAACATTCTTGTGAGTTTCTATTAATTAAATGGGAGATAATAGTTGCCATTTTCCTTTATTGTTTTTATTACTAGTCAGTCATTTATCAACTGAGCTAAGATTTTTTTTTTTTGGTATGGAGATCGAACTCAGGACCTTTTGCTTGCAGCACAGGTGGAGAACCACTGAGCTAAATCCCTGGCCCTAGCTAAGATATTTTAATGTTATAAAATAAAGCATTTCATTTTATCTTGTCATGTATTTAAGAATTAGATTTAAGCTTTATTCATCTTGTAAGTATTTGTTGTGTGTTTATATAAACAAAAAGTTAAAACGTGATAGGTGGGCCAGGGTTTTAGCTCAGTGGCACTGCACCTGGATTGCAAGCGTAAGGTCCTGAGTTTGATCCCTGGTACTGGAAAAGAAAAAAACAAAAACGTGATACATTCTAGACATTGGATAAGCACTTTATAAAAGTCATTTAATTTAATCGATTCAAACATCCTGTGAGGGTGACATAGTCACTGTCCTGCACACGAGGCACTGTGTTATACCCTGGGACACTAAGACCTTTAGGACACAGTTATCCTCAAGTTATCTGCTGGTAGGCGAGTGGGGAGAACAAGCAACCAGTGTCCTTCAAGGTACTAAGTGTTCGGTGGGGATAAGCTTGAGGGGTGTGGAAAGCCAAACTCAAGTGGCAGTGGTATCAGAATGGTTTCCAGGTGATTTTTACACTCTCCTGGGATGAATGGGAGTGAGGCAGAGTAAACCCCAGGGGAAAAGCAGTTAGACCAGGCAGCAGGAGTGTTTTAGTGGCTGCAGTGATAAGAGCTCAGCAACATTCAGTGAGCATGAGTAGTCATGATGATGTATACATCTTGAAGAATGAGATTTCATTAGAAATTTCTTAAAATTAATCAACCTTACATTTAACATGAGGTGGAGTCACATCACCAATAGGAATGTAATAGCACATTCTTCAAGTCTTTTGTTTTCTCTGTCATCCCAAAATGTTAGTTTCATAATTCAAAATGGAAAAAAATGATGTTTTACACTTAGCAATTTTTAATAGTTTGGGGTATTTATATTCTGTTGACATGAAGAAATAAATGCTTTTTGGTAAATAGATTTTTCCCCATTGTTTATTTCCTTACATTAGCTATTTTATTCTCTGTCATTCAAAAGTGTCATTAAATATGGATCTAAGGGAAAGTAAATTTCAGATGTTTGCCTAGTATAACCTTGTGTAGTTATGTCACCTGGTCATTGCATTTTTTCATATTTAAAAAGTGTATCCATTGTTCAAAGGGTTGATTTTCTTTCTATTTAATGCCTTCGCAACCTAGGACAACAGTTAGCAGCCATCACTGCCTGGGATTCCTCAGCCTCCAATCTTACTGCTCATATAACACTAGTAGCCCCATTTGGTGGGTAATAGGCTATTCTCCCTCTTCTTATGTAACCTTTATTTAAGAAATGATTTATACAAGTGTATTCCATGTGCATGTTGCTTTTGCTTTATGTAAGTTTGCTACATGAAATTTGATCGCTTGCATTTTTACATATAAAGTTAAGATTAATGGATCTACTCATGAAGTAGAATTCAAGTTCATGATTCAGTAGAAAATGAGAGCCACAAAGAAAGATGTGAATGGACCTATTATTTTAGACTTAGAAGTTGTTGGCTGCTATTGTTTTTAAACTAAAAGTAACTAAGGAATAGATATATTAGTATTATATTTCTACCTCTTTTTGTCTTTTTTTTTTTTTTTTTGTACCAGGGATTGAACTCAGGACCTCGCGCTTGCGAGGCAGGCAGCAGAGCCCCTGAGCTAAATCCCCGGCCCTCTACCTCTTTTTGTAAATTGAAGGTAACTGTTTATATTTCTGCCTCTTTCTTGCAAGGCAAGCGACAGAACCACTGAGCTAAATCCCCTGCCCTTTTGCCTCTTTCTTTAAGGAGGCAAACTATCAAAGTTTAAAGGACTTATTACTATGGAGTGCTTTCACTTTTGTGTGTGTGTGTGTGCTTTGATTATGTTATAGAGAAAGTGGGTTTTAGTATTCTGATTATATTGAATTTTGTTGGTGTTTTAGAAAAGATGAAACTTATTATAGAAGACCAAAACTCTTAGAAACATTATCACAAGCAATAGAAATCCTTCAGTGTCTGAAGGTTCTTAAAAGATACATAGGCCAGATTATTTTATTTTATTGATTGATCTTTTTTCTTTTGTACTGGTGATTGAACTCAGAACCTTGCGCTTGCAAGGCAAGCAGCTATTGATTGATTTTTTTTTTTTTTTGAGTGGTAATGTCTCATTATATAGTTCACACTGGCCTTGAACTCACTATATAATCCAGGATGGCCTTGAACTGCAGCAGTCTTCCTGCTTTAGCTTCCTGAGTGCTAGGAAGGATGGATTATTTTAGAAATGAGTAGTGCTTGTTTAATTGTAGGTAGAAGGAAAACAGTAAAATAATTGAATCATTTATTAATTTAAAATGTTTCCATAAAGCAGAAAGGACCTCATAGCCAAGCATAAGAAAATCTCTGTATCTTTGGAAAGAGGTTAATACCTTTCAAGGGGGGTAAAAATGTGTTTTCAAAAACTCTTAAAAAAACAAAAACAAAAACTGACTCTAGTTTTGTCAATAGGTGTCTAATAAAAATATATTACTTTATATGGTTATTAGGTTTCCACATGGAAGTTTCTAATGCTTGTAAGTTATTAGTATGGAAAACTTTTATAATATTTTTATTAGTATATATTTGTAGTTCATAGTAATTACATTCATTGCTGTAGTATGAGAAACTTACGACATTTAAAGTGTTTTATAGGAAAAAATTGTTATCTTAAAAAGATAAGAAGCAAGATAATGCTTTTCTTGCTACCCCAAGGTCTTAAATTGATTAGAATATGTTTGCTGCACTACAGATGTGGTCATTAGCTCTCCCTGTCTAGTGGATCTGAATCTTTATTTCTAATGATCAGTTTTGAAGGAGTTACCAAGGATGGCTTGGGGTAGAGTCTAGTTTTTAGCTTTGCTTTATTTTTTTTCTTGTCCATATTTTCACATTTTTCTTGGTGCATGTGCAATGTTCCAACACAATTAGGAAATACATTTTTTATTGTGTGCCATTTTTCATTTTGAGTTTATCTGAATTACCTTTTTTGATTTTTTTAAAGCAACTCGGAGCAGAAGCCGCACTAATATGCTTATGGACCTGCATATGGACCATGAAGGATCATCTCAAGAAACCATCCAGGAGGTACAACCAGAAGAGGTGTTGGTCATTTCCTTAGGAACCAGTCCCCAGCTTACTCCGGGAATGATGTCAGAAAACGAGGTATGAATGTATTACTACGTTTAACTTATAGTCATCAATGTTAAGAAGCAGGTTGTTCTCTTCCAACTAATGGTTACTTGATTCTATAAGTCACTGCTTATGTTCATACTGCTCTAAAAAAAATACTAGAGGTTGGGTAGTTAATAAATAATAGAAATTTATTTCTTGCAGTCCTAGAGGCTAGGATGAACAAGATCAAGGGAGATTCAGTGTCTTGTGAGGTCCGATTTGTGGTTTATAGATGGCTCTGTCTCACTCTGCTCTCACATGGTGCAGAGGGCAGATGAGGTCTCTTGGGCTTAAGGGTACTCACTAATCCCATTCACGGGTGATCTGATCATCCACCTAGAGGCCCCACCTCCAAATACCATCACTTCAGAGGTTAGAGTTTCACCATGTGAATTTTGAGAGAACTCAAACGTTTAGATTATAGCAATGCATTTAATGCATCTTCCTTATTATCTTCTATGGGCCTACCATGACATGTCATCAAATGTTAAGCTCCTTGGAAATAATGTAATTGTGGAGGAGGCCCTGCACTTTAATACATCTGTAGCACTGGAGTTGGCAAACAGACCATAGTAAGAGGGATTTTCTTAGCAATAGAAGAGACAAGAAGCTATGAAATTGTGATTTGGAGATTGAAGAGATTTTTCAGTGATCCATAGGAAATGTTTTATGTTATTTTTCTTTCTGGTGGTTTACTAGCATTGTAAAGCTTTCTACTTTACAGAGCTAAAAATTGTGTTTGTTAGTTTTGTTTTTGGGGTAGGTTCTGGGGATTGAACACAGAGCCTTTGTACTGCGTAACATCCCTAACCCTTTTTTACTTTTTGAGACAGTGTCTCATTTAGTTGCCTACCTGGTCTTAAATTTTCAGTCATTCTGCCTCATCCTCCCAAAATGTTGAGATTATAGGTGTGTGTTACCATGTTTAAAAAATTTTTAGTTGAAAAAAAATTCTTTAGCTGTTCAGGAAGAAAATGTAAGAGAAGACTAAAAGAATAAAGTCACTTTTTAAAAAGAAATAGGCTTGATTATATGAGGATCAGTTTTAAGTTGTCTATACAAAATCATGGCATAAAGGCAAATGGGAAGAAGTAGAAATCTTGACTCTCTGAAGAAAGAAGGGCCTTCTTACAGAGTGTCTACCTGAAAAGGGTACAGCATCTTTACTCAGTAGTGAATGCTTATTTTTAGTCTTTTTTTTTTTCTTTTTTTGATACCAGGAATCAAACTCAGGGCCTCAAGCTTGCTGGGCACATGGTGTGCCGCTGAGATACATCCCCAGTTTTATTTTTATTTTATTTTTGTTTTTTTTGGTTCCGGGGATCAGACTCAGGACCTGAGTCTCTTGAGAGGCAGGCGGCAGAACCATTGAGCTAAATCCCTGGCCCTTTTTTTATTTTGAATACTTTTTTGTGTTTGGTACCTGGGATTGAACTTGGGACCTTGCGCTTGCGAGGCAGGTGGTGGAACTACTGAGCTGAATCCCCGGCCCATGAATGCTTATTTAAAAAAAAAATCATTACTGGCCTGGGAAGAAATGACCAGTAGTAGTGATGTTGATAAAGTGATGGTGGTGGCTGGTGAACTGTTAAGGATTGTGGTGTGGTTGATAGGGAAGAGAACTGTCAGACTCCAGAACTCCACCCCTGCACACACAGACAAAGGAGCAAGCTGGCAAAAGCTGTCAGAATCCACTTTTTTGGAATTGTGGAATCTAATAAAAAATATAACCAACGGAATGCTGAATGAAGAAAAAACTGCAGCATTTTGTCAAGAGAGCTCTGTGACAGTTTACCTTACCATCCGCTTTCCCCACTCAGTAGCTCCCCAGAAGACAGCAGCTTGTGTTCCTACGTAGTTTGTTGGTACCTGAGAGAGCACTTTGAACTTTATTCTCAAAGAATCATGCCTGTGTGGTTTTTGGTTTTTTTTGGGGGGTGGGTCCTGGGGATAGAACTCAGGACCTTGTGCTTACCAGGCAGGTGCTATACTGCTGAGCTAAATCCCTGGATACCTGTGTATTTTGATCTGTCTGGTGGATCCCTGAAGAATCAGCTCAAAGGCTTGCCTTTATTTCAGTCACCTCTTCCTGTTCCTAGGGCTGAAGCAGCTTCTTAGTTGACATTTGTCAGAAGCATTGAGAGGCTGGGAATGTAGTTCAGTAGTGTGTGCTTAGCATGCATGAGGCCCTAGATTCAGTCCCAGTACCACAACAAAAGAAAGAAAAAGTGATGAAAGGCAAATACTTTAGTTGCTATTGCCTGGAGCAAGAGATAACAATTGAGGAAAGCATCAGACTGACTGAAAATCCTGGGGAGGAAGAGTCTGGGAAAGCACATTCTAGGAGCACAGGGCTTTCACGTATTCCAGGAACTTGGGAGGCTATATACATGCTCAGAAAAGAACTTTGAAGGCCTACAGATAAGAAGTGAAGGCCAAGGCACAGGTGCAGAATAGCTAGCTAAATGTTGAGGAAATGTCCTAACATTGCCAGTGTACAAGACTTGAAAGGTGTGGGATAGTTTTTGTGTAGGATTCCAGGTGTTAAATCTGTCAAATCACTTGCTAACTGTTAAGCTAACAACAGACTTCAGTGGCCATACATGATATGACAGCGAAAAGACACCAAAGCCTTCTAATTCTAGAATCTCAACCACTATTCATTCTATGTCTGATTGTTTAATCTCTGACACTGGTAGGTTGATGGCAAGGCATAGCCTCTGCTATTTAACTGATGTTTTTTAGTTTCCTTCATTTTAAAAGCTTGCTAGCCCTTGTAAATGTGTTTTTACCTTTAAATGATTGTTTGATACTAAGAAGAATTTAAATATGCATTTGCTGTCATTAATTTTCTTATCAGTAGCCTCTTTCATTTGTGATAAACCAAAATTGACATTGTCCTTTTCAGGTCCTAAACATGCAACTTGTGGATGGAGGACAAGGAGATGTCCCTGTTGATGAAAACAAACTCCACGGTAAACCTGATAAAACCTTGCGCTTTTCCCTCTGCAGTGATAATCTGGAAGGCATATCTGAAGGTGAAGGGTTACTTCATTCCAGGAGTTGTGTGATTCAAGTAATGTTTTGTGTTCTTTAAAGGAGCCTTATAAATTATAATTAAACCATCTGCGCCTCTCACGGAGGAGAGTAATGAAATTTTCCTCTAATGAGCTTGAATAGTTTTCTCTAAAGATTATTTCCTTAAGTTTATGAGGCTATATGGTTATATAAATGAAGAACTCAAATAGAATAATAGCAAGCATTTTCTCAGTATTAATATATACAAAAGCTTATAGAGCTCCTTTAGAAGGATATATTGCATGTATAAAGGGGAAAAACTGAACTTACTAGTATTTCAGGAGGTTCTGTGTACTTTTAATGATCTGTGTTTCTTTTTTTTTTAAATGCTTTTTTTAAAACAGCTTTATGAAATAAGATACAATGGAAATAGGAACTTTGAAAAATCATAAGCCAAGATTGTAGCTTGTGAATGTGTCATTACACATATTTGGATAATTTTAAATGTTACTTTTATTTTTTTATTTTTATTTTTTATTGAACTCAGTACCTTGTGCTTGCAAGGCAGGCAAGGTGTCACTAAGCTAAATCACTGGCTCTCAGACAATTTTTTAAAATATAAAAATATTAAAGTTTACTAACATTTAAAAGTAAAGATATCGCTTCTTAGTCTTTTGGCTAAGATCAAGTGTAAAAGTAAAGATAAATGTAATTCTTCTCTCTAACTTTTCCAAAAAAAAAAAAAACTACAGTAAGTCCCCGACTTAAGAATGAGTTCATTTCTGGGAGAATGTTCATAGGTTGGATTTGTTCATTAGTCGGACTACACCTTTGACACAAATATACAGTGTAGAGCATAAGAAAAAAAGCACACACACACACACACACACACACAAATACTGTAAATAAACTTTTACCAGTAGGTACATGAGTTACTTCTGTGATTTGTATGCATCTGTGAAAGTTCCTAATGTGAAGTTCACTCATGTCTGTGGAAGTTCACAACTTGAATGTTTGTAAGTTGAGGACTTACTGTAATGTTCATTCTAGAAAGTGTAGAATAGAAATAGAAGCATCTGTAATCTTACCATTCTGTTACTAGCATTTTTACTAGCAATTTACATGTTGACTTACATATACCAAAATTATGTTTATGATATTTTACAACTTTTTTTCTTTAATTTCAAATGGACAATGTAAAAGTTATGTCAGCATTCTATAAAAAATAAGAAAGCTTCTATGTTAATGTATTAGAAGACAATGATGGCAAACATTTTAGAAAACAAATGCCAAAATTGCAATCCAAGATCCACTTATTTATCTCACAGTGTCCACACTTCAATTAAACCTGAATACTGAGGTTTTAGTTTAGAAAAAAACAACTCTTACGTTAAGATCCTTTGTCTTAAACGAGAAACACAATAACAAAGCTTTCAGTGATACAAGCAGCTTTTTATTGAAAGGTAAAAGTTTGCATTTGGCATGCTTTACACAGTTAATGTGACCTTTGTTGATGTATGCATGCTGATAATTTGGCAAACTTTGGCCAGGCAACTTGGCTCTCTTGTCAGCATGAGAGAGTTCTGTGTACCTATTGGGGCACTTGTGCCACCACTGTTATTAGAGGTTCTGCAACAGGCAAATTTAGATTAGATTTGGATTAGTTTTTTTAAAGTCCTAGAAACAGAATTCCTGGCTCAAGGAACATGTATTTTTTTCATAATGTTATATTAAAAGAACTTTAATCTTTACTCTCTTATGGAGACAATAAAAAATTGCATGGTGGCTAATGAATGTTTTAAAAAGGTTGCTCACAGGGTAAACATTTCTTTAGGTCCTTCAAATCGCTCCAATTCAGTGTCTTCTCTAGACTTGGAGGGAGAGTCTGTATCGGAACTTGGAGCAGGACCTTCTGGAAGTAATGGAGTTGAAGCACTACAGCTCTTAGAACATGAGCAAGGTAAAGTTGAACACAGTTATACAACTAGAAAAGAAATTACCTGATTTCAAGATAAGCAATATGTTTGCATGTAAGTTGGCTTAGCCTTTTTTTTTTTTTGTCACTGGGACAAAATATCTGACATTTGCATTTAAAGGAGGAGAAGGTTTATTTTGGCTCATGGTTTCGGAGGATTTGTCCATGGTTGGTTGCCTTGACAGTAGAAATGGCAGGGCAGAGAGCATGGTTGAGGAATGCTGTTCATCCAGTGAGAGCCAGGATGCAGAGAGAGTTGAGAAGAGCCAGGGATAAGAATATACCCTTCCAAGTCACACCCACCTCCCACCAGGCCATTCAGCTATGAACTCCTCAGTGGATGAGTTAACCACATGAAGTGAAAAAACACTTTGTTTGTTTATTTTGAGACAGAGTCTGTCTATGTAGTTCAGGCTGGCCTTAAACTCACTATGTAACCTAGGCTGGCCTTGAACTTAGGGCACTTCTCCTGCTTTAGCCTTCTGAGTGTTAGAATGACAGGGGTGTGCCAGTATTCCTTGCAAAAAATACAGTAATAATATATAGTAAATATACCACCCCAGACATTTGTGTTTGCTCTCAAGTATGGGTCAGCTGGTTGATTTTTGTTTGGACTGGGCGCTCTCATACATCTACAATCAACAGTGGTTGGCTGGGGAGCCCTTCTGATCTTAACTGGGGGTGATGTGGTCAGTGGGGAGCAGGCTGGTCTAGCTAGATCTGAGATGGTCCTACATGCTTAGTAGTGATAAAGCAATAAAATATGTAACGAAGTTCAAAGACAGTTTAGAAGTCATGGCTGTACTACCATTTTTAGTATTTATTTATTTATTTATTTGGTTTTTTGAGACAGGGTCTCACTATGTAGTTGAGACTGACCTGGAACTCACTGTGTAGCCCAGGCTGGTCTTGAACTCACAGTGATCCTCTTGCCTCAGCCTCCTGAGTGCTGGGATTACAGGCATGCACCACCATGCCTGGCATGTATTACTATTTTTAAAATGCTTTGTTTTGTTTTTGATAGCTACAACACAAGATAATCTTGATGATAAACTAAGAAAATTTGAGATTCGTGACATGATGGGACTAACAGATGACAGGGACATATCAGAAACAGTGAGTGAGACCTGGAGTACAGATGTCCTGGGGAGTGACTTTGATCCTAACATCGATGAAGATCGCTTGCAGGAAATTGCAGGTAACTGCTTTTCAGCATCTCTGTAAGATTACTGTTTAATGATCCCGATCCCCCCAACATCATGTGAGAGAGTTGTTAGTGCTCTGACCAACAGGAGGTGTGTGTCAACTGTTACTGGAAATAGAGGTACTTGTGTGGAAGAAGACATTCCTTGCATACTTTTAAAAAAAATATAGGCAGTGTTTTCCCCTTTTGCCTTTTAACACCTCCCTTTCCCTAAAAAAGAAAAACCAATATTTCAAATTAGCTTCTGGTTAAATCTTATTTGTAGGGCACAGTATATGTTCTTAGTTTATGATTAACATATTCTGAAACTAAGCAGTTTATCTTAAGAGTTCTCACAGAGGATAGCCACAGAATCTCAAAATAAGATGATATTGAAATCCTCTGCAAACAAATTAATCCACTTCTGGAAGATTAATTCTGTTCCAAAGGATATCCAGTTTTTTTCTTTTTCTAAAAATGTCATTTGTTAACTATAGTTTACATACATTACAGATTAGCCGTCTTTCAAATACTGTTATATAACTTCTAAAAGATTCATACAATCTTGTCATTACCATCTTCATTTACATGTCAAACAAGTACGAGAGAGGGTGAAGTGAGCATGCTATACCTACACCGAGCTTTAGTAGTAGACGTGCATGGCCGGCTTTGTTTTTTCTGTTCCCCACTCGTTATCCCCTGCTTCCTTCTCCCCAGTATGTTTAGGTTAGTTTTATACATTTTTTAATTTACAGTTTTATGATACATCTTTTTTTTTGTACCAGGGATCGAACTTAGGATCTTGTGCTTGCGAGGCAGGGACAGTGCCACTGAGCTAAATCCTCAGCCCTTGCTTTTGTTTGTTTTTGAGACAAAGTCTATATATGTAGTGGCTGGCCTTCAGCTTACTATTAACCCAGGCTGGCCTTGAACTTGCTGCAATCCTCCTGCCTCAGCCTCCTGAGTGTTGGGATTATAGATGTTCTCTGCCACACCTGGCTCACAGCCCCTTTTGATTTTTTATTTTGAGAGAGACTCAGTAAATTGCCTAAGCTGGTCTCAAACTTGCTATTGTACTGTTTCAGCATCCTAAGTAAAGAGGATTATAGGCATATGCCTCTGTGTCCTATAGAATTATTCTTTTATTAGGTTTAATTGAAAGTAGTGGGAGATTCTCTCACTCTTTTGTTTTGTCCTGGAGATTAAACCCAAGACCTTCACACTAACCTGTATCTCCAGCCCTTTAAAATTTTTCTTTATTTTTCAGACAGGGTTTTACTAAATCACTAAGTTGCCCAGGCCTGGCTCAAATTTGTGATCCTCTTGCTTCAGCCTACCAGAGTTCTGGGATTATGAGTGTGTGCTAGTATGCCTGGGTTCATCTTGAGTACAGGCACACAATGATGTTTGGTTCTCTCTGTTTGTATTCTTAAGTAGTGTAAATACATTTCTTAATTGGTTTTGCATTACTTTGTCCCAGATGCCAAAACAGTATTGTTCTTGGCAGTAAGCTGGATTTGAGCAGTGACTATATTTGTAGTTCAGTGCATGCTGTGAGGAGATATGTATTTTCCTGCAGGCGTATTCTGTTGCTCTAAATATGTGGCTAATGTGCCAGAAGTAAACATATTTGGCCAGCATAACTTTCTGTGGTTAATCTTTCTGTTAGAGTGTTTGTAATCCCTGTAGGACTGTACATTTTAGAAAGATACTAAGAGCATTTGCTGAGAAACCCAAGTGAATGCAGGTAAAATAACCATCTTAAGAAGTGTTTTCTCTGTGGAGAATCAAAGGTGAGCAACTGGTAAAAAGAAAGTTGTGCCATTGTGCTAAGGTAGAGACTTGGTGTTTTTAGTAATGCGCTTTGTAGAATTCTTACATGGCTTTTTTCTTGTGGATAGAAGAAAGATTATATATTTGGTTTTTGGTTTATGAGATGGGGTCTTGCTGTGTAGTTCAGGCTGGACTTAAATTCATTGTGTAGCCCAGGCTGGTCTCGAACTCGCAGTAATCCTCCTGCCTCAGCCTCCTGAGTGCTGGGATCACAGGTGTGCACCACCACATCTCTAGAGGAAAGGTTTTGTTAGTTTAGTGTAACCTTTCTTCACTTCCACAATTCTTCACTTTTTTTTTTTGGTACTGGGGATTGAACTCAGGTCCTTGCCACTTGCGAAACAGGTACCGGAACCACTGAGCTAAATCCCCTGTCCCCTACTTCCACAATTCTTTCCCTCAGGTTTTGTTAATGTTTTTCTACCTGCTGGTATACAGGTGCAGCAGCAGAGAACATGTTAGGCAGTTTGCTGTGCCTTCCGGGTTCAGGGTCAGTTCTCCTTGACCCCTGCACTGGTTCTACCATATCAGAGACAACAAGTGAAGCTTGGAGTGTAGAGGTATTGCCAAGTGACTCAGGTTAGTATCCTGTCAATTTTTGCTTTTCATTTACACAAAAATTTTATACGTAAGGTACCCTAATTTCTGTATTAGGCATATTCATATTTCTAAGAATTTCAAATTAAAAATTAGGGCATTTTTCTATCCATTTCAAAATAATGCAACATTGGACTAAGATGACTGCTGCCTTCTGACTCTGTTAATTATTTTGGAAGCAATGGTTTGTAACTCATCAGGGTTCTTTGTGGATCTTTGAGTTCAGTATCTGGTGCCAACTTGTCCCAAGATAGGAGTAGCTACACAGCTCAGACCCTGAGTGGTTGACCTCCTGGTGAGCGTGCTTACTAGATTTATCTCAGGGAACAACTTGGCTCTTTAAAGATATTTAATGTATTTTTGAAAAAATTTGAACTAGAGATTATAGCCTTGAGAATTCTTATGTGTAAGTTTGTTATAAAAAATATCTGAAGTCTTTTGTGCTCTTATTTCTTAAATATTGTATTTCTATGGGCTGGGGATTTAGCTCAGTGGTTCCACCACCTGCCTCACAAGCACAAGGACCTGAGTTCAATCCCCAGTACCAAAAAATAGAACAAAACAAAATATTGTTTTTCTACTTTTTTAAATTATGATGACATCTTTGTCTTCAACTAAATGTCAGCTTCCAGAATGTAAATATAAGTAACTGTATAACTGCATTATATTTTATCTGACTTACTTGGCTTAATAATAATTAAGTTATCCTGATTTGTATTTAATGGTGCTGTACTAAAGCATTCACACATGCTAACGTTATTTGCCTGGAGACAAGTGGAGACCATAGGATTAGTTTATGATCTTTTGAATATCCATGGGAGTTGTTTTTTAGAAAATAGTTGAATTAATGTTAAACTCTTCTGTATCTTCTTGCTCTTGTCCAATTTACATATCAACCAAAGCGTACTGTATGATTAGTGATTTAGAAAAATTTCTCACCGTGAACAAGCTTATATACAGTGAAATCACAGCCTTGATTTCTGTAACACTTGATCTAACTCACTGTGCTAACTGGCCTAGACTTAGAATTCTATTTACACTGATTTTATCATATCTTGATACATTTGTTTATCTGGGCCATAAAATCTGAATTGTAGCATGTTAGCAGAGTCACTAATATGACTCCTGTTTTCTGTGTAGAGGCCCCAGACCTAAAGCAGGAGGAGCGCCTGCAAGAGCTGGAGAGTTGTTCTGGACTGGGCAGCACGTCTGATGATACGGATGTCAGGGAGGTCAGTTCCCGCCCGAGCACACCAGGCCTCAGTGTTGTGTCCGGTATGTCTGTTTTGTTTCAAGAAATAGGAATTTGAAGCTGTTCTCCTTCTCTCCCTTTATAAAGTAGGAAGGTGCTAAAGTGACATGTTTTATTTCAGAGCTTAATAGTTTTCAGGAAACAAAATTATTTCTATGGCCTCTTAAATGTTTGAGAATCAGGACCTTGTGCTTGTGATGCAGGTGGCAGAACCACTGAACCCCCAGCCCTGTAATACGAATTTTTATTAATACACATTTGTCAAAGTCTCTACAAACCAAAACCATCCTGAGTTTTGAAATGTCCATTATTATAAACATGCAAAAAAACCCAAAAAGTGTTACCAAAAGTTAGCTATTTAATTTCATGGTAAAGCAGTGTCATTACTTTTAAAAAATAAAATGCATTTGTTCTGTGACTTCTTCATGGGTTTTCTCCATTTGGTTCCTTTCAGCCCTCACTTGAGATTCCTGGCACTGAAAATCAGTCTTCAACTCTTTAATCATCTTCTCTTTCTCTGACATGATTGATTCTTTGCACCATCTTCTGAGTAGCCACTGCTGCCTTCCACTAGGCAGTGATGATAAGGTGGTCAGTGCCTGGAGAGTCCAGAGCCAGATCTGGGGAAAAGCTGTCTCAACTAGTTGTGATTCACTTGCACTTGGATTTCTTTCTTTGGAATTTCATTTTAAATTGACGATGTAGAAAATGTTTTCTGACTATTAAAATGGTTGCTACCTCTTAGAAAGGGAGGGGTGGCAGCCCACTTTCCACTCCTCCCCCCTTTTAGACAGAAGGTTTCTTTTCCTCAATCATTTTTTCCTACTCTTAAAAAAAAAAATGGTTGCCTCCACTGAGGTGTCTATACTCCTCCTCCTGGAGGTTGGCACAAGAAGAGCTGCTCAGGTGCTTCTTCTGCTCTGTGGTCTTCTGAAGGACACGTTGGTGTGAAAGTCAGCACAGCCAACACAGGTGTTTCCCATCTACCTTTTTTCTGTCACCTTTCCTGACAAATGCGCACTGCTCTTTGTGCACGTTCCTAAGAACATGGTGGTCCATATTTCTCTGAATTTGTTCATTGTTGGCACTAATTGGCACAACAGTTACATGGCAGTACTGACAAAGTTAGGACTTTGTGTATAGCTGTACATTCCAAGCACATTTCCTGCATAATTGGTTTTACTCCTGCTGGCGCTCAGTCTTGCAGTTAGGTCTTCATAGTAGAGTGTGCAATCCAACATTCTTGAGACAGCACCTTAAAGGTAAGTACTGGTGGTACTTGGTGCGGGTGTAGAGTGCCACTGTGTTTGTCCCAGGCTGTGCTCACTTCTCTGCTGGCCCAGCCCCGTTTTTGTTTTGTCTTTGGTTTTAGTTTTTTGTGAGGCAGGGTGTTGCTGCTATGTAGTTCAGGCCAGCCTTGAACTCACTATGTAGCCCAGGCTGGCTTCAAACTCACAGTGGTTCTCCTGCCTCCAGTCTTGTTTTGTCTGACAGATGGGGGATCAGTTTGGTGGCAGCAGGGGTGACTTGGTCATTTGGACTTTGGGAAAGAGCCAGACTTGCACAGTGCCAGATACAGTGAAGAAGGTGGACGAGGATCCATCGTGTTTTTATGAACCTACCTTGACATTGGACGGCATTTGGCAGCAGCAGTCACTGCATTTTTTATCCCTTTTTGTAATGACAATGAGGAAAGAGGACTTGGAAATTGCTTTACAAAGTGGCAAGAATGATGATAAGGTGTATTTGAAGCAAGAGGGAGTACTTTTGAGGAGATAAATGGCAGTATATCTTTTACTGAAATAAATTTTTAAAAATTTAAGCATTTGTCATATATTTTGATCACCCCTTATGTATTTGGGCAGTAGTATGATAAAGGATATAATACTAAACAGTTTACATATATAGGCACATGTAGGATATATACAATTTGGAAATGTTTAAATTTTTCTAAAATTAATACACTTTTTGTGTAATTATTTTGTTTTTCTTGCTGTTTATTTTTTAAAGGCATAAGTGCGACCTCCGAGGATATTCCCAATAAGATTGAAGACTTGAGATCTGAGTGCAGCTCTGATTTTGGGGGTAAAGATTCAGTCACTAGTCCAGATATGGATGAAATAACTCATGGTAAGAAGAAGAAATAAGACTCACTTTTAAATATGTTCACATCCGTGGTTGAAACTGGTACTCTTTTTTTAAAAAAATTTATTTTTATTGAGACAGAGTCTCAGGCTATTCTTGAACTCACTTGGTAGCCCAGGATGGCCTCAAACTCAGAGTGATCTTCCTTCCTCAGCCTCCTAAGTGCTGGGATTACAGATGTGCACCACCACACCCTGTGAAACTAGCACTCTTAAACATTGGTGTTAATAATATCAATTAGGACCGGGGATTTAGCTTAGTGGTTCTACTGCCTGCCTCGTAAGTGCAAGGACCTGAGTTCGATCCCTGGTACAAAAAAAAAAAAAAAAAAAAAAAAAATCAATTAGTTTAGCACTTGGAGGCATAATTTGTCAAGGCATATTTAAGATCTTAAATGTTCACATTCCAAATTTGGCCAAGCTTCACTTTTAGAAATCTGTCATAAGGAAATAATTTCATGTATGGACAAAATCTTATGCACCAACATGTTCTTTGTAACATTTATATTGGCAGAAAATTGGGAAACAACTTAATGGAAAAGATAGAATAGCTAAGTAAATTTTGATGTAACCACCTTTTAGAATTTATGCACATATTATTTAGATGGAATAACTTGGAGAAATACCCAAAATATAATATTACATGAAAAATTTGACAGACTTTTATATACAAGATAATAAACATACATTGCATAGTGGGTATTGACATATCTTTTCTTTTTTGCACTTCTTTTTGTTCTATGCTAGGATTTTAAAACTCAGTGCTATTGATGTTTTAAGCCAGGTAATTGTTTGTTGTGGCAGCCTGTCCTATACATTATAGGATGATATAAGTAGCAGTAAAGCAACATTACAAGCTTCTACCAGTAGTGTGTACCTGCCACCCCAACCAACCAAACCAACCAACCAGCCACCCTTGCCAACCAAAAATGTCCCCAGACATTTCCAAGTGATCTTTGGGGGTAAATAGCCTTCAGTTGAGAACCACTGTTGTGAAGCAGGAATCCCACAGTGTGGTTTCCATGGACCACTGAGCATCCTCAGGATGCTTTTGAGGGTAGGGAAAATGCAAGGGCAAATTGCTTTGTTCGTTTGTTTGTGGGCTGGTTTGTAGCTCAGTGGTGCGTGCTTGCCTCGCGTGTGTGAGGCCTTGAATTTGATCCTCAGCACCAAACATGAAGAAAAAGTAATAGGAACATGGGTGATAGACCCCATAAATATGAAAATCCATAGATAAAAATGTGAAATAAATTTGAAATAATCAGAATTTGATATTTATTAGTTTCATTTTCTCCTGGTTTGCCTTCAAGTCCTGGTTGATCGAAAGAGAACTGTTGACAACATTAGACTCTTCACGCTTCACTCTGGCTGAGTTCTGGCTTAGTCTCACAGCTTGTCCTCCTGTTCTAGGTGCCCATCAGCTGACCTCCCCTCCTTCACAGTCAGAGTCTCTGCTTGCCATGTTTGATCCACTGTCTTCACATGAAGGTAAACTGGTGAAATAGAAGAGGGAAACCAGATCCTTTGTGAACGCCTTAAGTGGATGTTAGCTACAAAGTTTTATGTGTTGCAGGGGCTTCTGCAGTGGTAAGGCCAAAGGTTCACTATGCCAGGCCATCACATCCACCTCCAGACCCTCCAATCTTGGAAGGAGCAGTGGGAGGAAACGAGGCCAGGTTGCCCAACTTTGGTTCACACGTTTTAACTCCAGCTGAAATGGAAGCATTCAAGCAAAGGCATTCTTACCCTGAGAGACTGGTTCGCAGCAGGAGCTCTGATATAGTATCTTCTGTCCGGCGACCTATGAGTGACCCCAGCTGGAACCGACGTCCAGGGACTGAAGAGCGAGAACTCCCTCCAGCTGCAGCCGTTGGTGCTACTCCTTTGGTGGCTGCGCCTCACTCATCGTCCTCATCCCCTAGCAAGGACTCCTCGAGAGGAGAGGTATGGAATCCAGGCCATGTAGAATTTGCTCACTGAGTGTTCCATCTGCTGGGTTCGCTGGATGTTGGAAATGAACATGCACTCTGTAAATCCAGAATTAATGATGGGCTATATCTTGATTGAAGATGATCTGTCAGTCTAGTATGTCTACCACTATAACCATTAGGAAACCTTTTGTTTTGTAATAATTCTATCTTATATACATATGACACTTTTTAAAAACTTACCTGCAAACAATTTTGTATTTAACTGAACATACCCCACTTCCCCCAGCAGTGGAGATTGAAGTTAATGCCTTTGCATTTTGAGCTGTATCCTCAGCCCTGTAAATTTTTTTTTTCATATTTTGAGATAGGGTATTGGCAGGTCACTAAGTTGCCCAGGCTGGGCTCGGACTTGAAATCCTACTGCCTCTGTACTGTTGGTGTGGGCCAGTACATCCAACTTTATTTGCATTTAAAACTCACATTTAACTATCCCTCTGAGATGGTTAGAGGAAGTATTATTGTTTTATTTTTAAATAGTCACAGAGTTACCCAAAAAGTTGGAAGTACAATAGAAACACACTTCTTCCTGATTTGAGAATGAGTTGCCAACCTGCTGCTGTCTCTCTTGCCTCTGAAACCTTTAGTGTGAGTTTTCTACAAGCCAGTACATTCACCCAGACTTCAGCATCAGGAAAGGAACGTGATGAGTCATACCTTCTGATTCTCATCCTGTTCGTGTGTGCACAGTTGTCTATAGCAGTTTAGTTCCTGGTCAAAGGACCCCACAAAGAATTGCATGTTGTTTTCAGTTGTCATGTTTTTTTCAGTCTCTTTCAGTCCAGAACCATTCTTCAGTTTTCCCTTGACTTTTCTGACCCTGACACTAGAGTATGTTCTGTAGTGTTCCTCAGTTTGGGATTATTATTTTCCTGTAATTAGATTTAGGTTATTCATCTTTGGTGGGACTTTCATTAATACTATATTCTTTTCACTGAATCCTACCAGGTACCACAGAGCTTTAATTTTTCTCATTACTGTAATATTCACTTGAACGTGATGTCTGCTAGGCTCCACCACTGAAAAATTACTGTTTTTCCCTTTGTTAACAAATATTTTTATTAACATTCATTAATGTAGGGAGATACTTTGAAAATATATAACTCTCTTGCCGGGCATGGTGGTGCATGTCTGTAATCCCAGCACTCGGAAGGCTGAGGCAGGAGGATCACTGTGAGTTTGAGACCAGCCTGGGCTACATAGTGAGTTCCAGGTCATTCTTGACTACATAGTGAGACCCTGTCTCAAAAAAAAAAAGAAAGAAAGAAAATATATAACTATCCTGTTCTTTAAATTTAAAATTTTACCTGGTTACTAATTCTATCTGTGGTCTCCTGGTTTTCTCTTAGTCAGTGGGTTTATTACTCTGTTTGATTTCAAGCTCAGTTATATGTGATCTGGCTAGTGGGAGCCCTGTCAGGCTTGTTTCTGGGTTCTTTAGACAACCTCTCCCCTTCTTTGAACATTTCTCTGCTTCTAGGCACAAGATATTACAAGCTTATATCGTACTTGGTCTGCTCTAATCCTAGAATCAGACCTTTCTCCAAGGAGCTCTGGTTCATTTTAGCGAACAATAGCTTTTAGAAATTAAAATGAATCAGTGCTCATCACTGTAGGCATGTTGCTGTTTCTGGAACCTCTCAGTGGACAGAGCTGGGGAGTGTGTGCATGTGTGGATGTGTACACATTTATCTGTGTTCATTTCCATATCTTTCTTTCTCTTTAAATATAGAGAACCACAAACTCACACTGACGTGTTCAGTCTAGAAACAAGCGTGTCTCTGTCTTTCTTTCCATATTTGTAATTTCCTCCTCTAACGTTGAGAACCTTGCTTCAATTGTTACCCATGTGTCCAATTAGTTGGCCTGTGTATGATCTGTTTCCCTGCCCTGCTGCTGACTCTCACTGGCACAGAGGCCTCTGCTCGAGGTCTTATTGTCTTTCCATATGCGTATTCCTAGAGAAGATATTTTTAATCCCAGTTTTGTAGATGAAAAAATTAAATTTAAGAGATTTGTCTAACTTGATAGGTTGAAAAAGGAGTTAGTCTTTTCTTTGTAGCCTGATGGAGTTGATAATAACTGTATACTATAATCATGTTCAGAACCTTTGCTGTTGGTTTGGTCTGGGTTTGAATCTCAGCTGTGCTAGGTTGTATAGTTTGGAGAAGATAGGGAGATAACCTCGATTAACTCAGTATTTCTTATCTGTAAAAAGAACTTAATAATAAGACCTACCTGCTAAGGCTACTGTGAGGATTACACATACATATATGTATGTATGTGTGTATGTGTATCTTTATGCTCAGCACTTGGCACGCAGTACACACATTGTTTTATTTTGAATACCACTGCTACTATCTCTACTACTTTAGAGTTGATTTGTGCTGTACTCATCCCATATTTTGTTGTTGTTTTTGTTTCTTGGTACCGGGGATTGAACTCGGGACCTTGCGCTTGTGAGGCAGGTGGTAGGTGGCAGAAATCCTGAGCTAAATCCTCAGCCCTATGTGTGTTCTGTTTTGTTTGTGCTAGAGATAGAACCCAAAGCTTTGCGCATGCTAAGCACATACTTTACCAGTGAGTTACATCCTCATCCCCTCCATAATTATTTTTGAGTACTTGCTCTACACCAGATTTGTGTTAAGCATTCAGTTTATAAACAGTAATGGGATACACTCTGATGCTGGAAAGGTATACTCCCCTGTTCTAGAAGTTGCTTGCATGGTGATCAGAGCAGTTTTACTTGAAGGCAGATAGGACTGGTGTTTGTATTTCACAGACTTACTGAAATCCTTATCATATAATTTATCTTGGTTCTTAACTCCAAATAAAGCATCAAACTTTTTCTACAGACTGAAGATCGCAAAGATAGTGATGATGAGAAATCAGACAGAAACAGACCTTGGTGGAGAAAACGTTTTGTTTCAGCCATGCCTAAAGGTAATTTTTATATAATTTTGGAATGCCATCTTAGCAAGAAGCAGCAAAGTTCTGCAATCTCTTACAAGAGCCAATATCTCAATTCCTTCGTGAGGCTTCTGGCTTCAGTTTTTACTGTTTTGAGAGTGTAGAAAATGGTTTCACTCAGAAGAATGCTAAGGCAGAGCTTTAGAAATGTTCTTGTTCTTTGCAGGAAGTAGTAGCATTTCAGAAATGGAAGTCGTCATGCTAGTCACTTTTAAATATCATACACCATTCAAGTTAAACATACAGTACTTTTGACACATGTATTGCTATTAATTATTGTAGGAAAATGGGGTGCTCTTGGTAATTTAACATTGAAAATTCGTCATTTCTGGAATAAATTTAAGCTTTTTATGTTTATGTTCATTGTATATGTTTATACCCTAAGTATTAGTGAGTGTTTATATTGGGAGGTAGTTGTATAAAATAGCTTGCTCTTTTGGTGAATAGCCTGGTATCATTTGAGTTGGTGAGAGCCTCTCTTTCTGAGAGGAGAGATCATCCAAAAGCTAAGAACCTCTTCCATGGGCCTCCCACAGTGCTGTGGCATTCAGGTACCAAGGAGAGCTGTCTTCCTGCCATACTCAAGCCCACTTGATAGGGAGATGAGAACAAGACAGGACTTTTTTGTTGTTTTGTTTTGTTTTGAAATAGGGTCTTGCTATGTAAACCAGACTGGCCTCTAATTCGTGATCCTTGAGGCAGGAGGTTTGAATGTGCTGTTTTTCAGAAGAGGCAGTGGTTCTGATTTGGTCCCAATGAATCTCTATTAAATCATTCTTCCTACAACAGACAACTGTAGAGCAGATTGTGAAAGTTTCTTTCAGAACCTTTCAGTGATATTTTTAGAACAATTATCAGTCGACACTTGGGATTTCTTAGCTTTTAAAATTTTCAGCCTCCTTTCACTTAGAAATGTTGGCACACCAATTAACTTCCGAGTAGTGCAGTATGTTATATATCACACTACTGACTTTATTTAATTTCCAGCTCCTATACCATTTAGAAAGAAAGAAAAACAAGAAAAAGACAAAGATGATCTGGGGCCTGACAGATTCTCAACACTCACAGGTTTGTAGACCATGGACTTCCTGGCTCCTTCATTCCCAGAGCACATATTTCATAACACTTTTTCTTGGGTACCATAAGCGTTGCCTTTTTAGAAGAGTTTGTCTGTGTGTGTACAGTGGGGAGTATGTTCTTCATAGCTCTGTGGCTTCTGGTTGGTGGCCACAGTGACTCTCAGTATGCTCTTCCTGCTGACTGCCACCGCCATCATCATCCTCATTATCATAACTTCGGTTTATGATGAAGCCCTGATCCTGATCCTCCAACTCGCCGTCTAGTGGGATGACACAGTGCTTGTGGGAGAGTATGGTGATGGTTTTAGGGCTGTGCATGCCATATTTTTGGATCATTGGTTGAACAGTTTTCTCTAACACTGACCATAGAATTCTAAATTTATTTTCTCTATAGTTTTTGTTTATTCAGGATCACATATGAAATCATTTTATCTGATCATTTTCTTTTTTTTCATGATAAAGTGTTCAAACAATGTCATAAATGTCAATCATTATAATAAAAGTTTTATAAACTTTACTAATTTCTTACAACTTGAACCATTGTAACATTGCTGGCTGACCCAAGGAAAATACAACCAGGGATTAGGTTCTTTTAGGTCTTCCCTTGCCACATTATAAACAAGGAAAGAATTTGAGAGGTGGTGTTAACAACCCAACCCTGAGTTTGATAGCTGGATATTGTTGCCTAGGTGCTGTAGAGCAACTAGAGGGAAGTTCACTTCTCACCTCCTTTTTTCGTATTTTGATTTTAAAGTATGTTATCGTACTATACTGCTGGGTTAAAATAAATATTTTTAATTAAAAAATAGGATAGATTTCAAATGAACATCCTTCTCAGAGTTCAGCATGGTGTAGGTAGCATCCTATTTTAATGCATATTGTTCTAACGTCCAGCTGCATATATTTAGGTGTCTCCATGTCCCGTCTAGCCGTTCATATTTAGGTGTATCTCCATGTTCCAGCACATACATCCCTGCTCTGTCTGATATGGTGACATCCCTGGAATAAAGGGTTTTAAACAGCAGAGATGTGTATAAGGCCACACTTCTGCTAAGAGCAGCCCAGTCTTCCCTGTTACTCAGCAAATACTTGCTGACCATCTGACTCATTCCAGGCACTGTGCTAAGTGTTGTTGGTACTAATTCAGACCACACATGACCTCCATTTGTCAGGACTTTACCGTCAGGTTGGGGAAGAGTGGGAAAGATATTATGTCTTTGACAAGGTATTTATGTATCCTTTCCATGTTTGTCGTTCCTACTGTTAGAAGAACACAAGCATATAAAAATAGAATTACTCTGGGTGAAATCACTTTTGTACTTAAAATTAACAGCTTGAGAGAAATTATAAATTATTAAGTCTTTGGGCAGCATATTCTTGATTTTTGAAGCTGAAACTAGAAACTGGATATTTTTTTAATAAAGTAATTCATTTTCTTTGGTTATGGTTCAAGTAGTTAAGCTTATCTACTGGTGCAGAAATATGTACTCAGTCCTAAATACTAACCCAGTTATCGCTGAGTCACTCTAAAATGTTGTGAAAGGTCATATGCTAACAGTCTAGCTATAATCCTACCCAACTATTACCTTTTTCATGTTTTCAGTGTTTTTCCCTTTTTTTTTTTTGTTTCTGGGGATCGAAATCAGGACCTTGTGCTTATGAGGCAGGTGTGGTTCTCTAAGCTAAATCCTTGGCCCTCCCTTTTTCTTTCTTTTTTTTTTGAGACAGAGTCTCGCTTTATAGTACAGGCTTGCCTTGAGCTCACTATGTAGCCCAGGCTGGCCTTGACCTCAAGGTGATCCTCCTGCGTCAGCCTCCCAAATGCTAGGATTATAGACGTATGCTACCATGCCCAGCTTTTTTTTTTTTCTGTATTTTTACATGGTTGTGCTTTCATGACTGAATTAGATGATGTATGTAACTTTGTATTCTGTTTTGTTTTGTTTTGGGGTGGTACTGGGATCAAGCCAGGGGCCTTATGCATGCTAGGCAAGCATTGTACCACTGAGCCATACACCCCCAGCCCTTTTTATTTTATTTTGAGACAGGTTCTCGTTAAGTTGTCCAGGCTGGCCTGAAAGTTGCAATCCTCTTGCCTCAGCCTCCCACGTAACTGGGATTACAAGTATGTACCACCACACCTAGCACTTTTATTTTTTTACCATGCGTCATTTTATAACCCTCTCCCGATTTCTACTAGGTATAGTTGGATTTTAAATCATTTTTTATTGCCTATAATCTGGTTCTACTACAGTGTAAACTTACTATTGGATATGTAAATTATTTCTCAATTTTCACTATAAAAAGTGTTCACAGATTTGTATATAGAGCATTTTTTTGTTTTAATTATTTTTCTGGGATAAATTAAGAATGATATTAAGAATTTTGTTCATACATAATTTTATGGTTCACAGTGTTTAGCCAGATTATGCTTTCCCTTTTTTAGACCCATCATCAGCACTCAAAATCTTTACTCAAAAAAGTACTTTTCTTCCGAAACAAGATTCTGTGATGATAAAGGTTTTTATTAGTTTACATCTGGAAAAAGATCAGTTTGATTTAAGAATTGCTTGTCATTAATTCAAATACTATTTTAGCAAAAGTCTTAAATTACTTGGAAATCCTCTTCTGCTGTAGATAAATATAGTTTTACAGAGACATGAATGTTAAATATCTGTTTCATGCAAACAAGAAGAGCCCATGAGCATACTGCTTCACTTTGTGTGTCGATTTGCTGTGCTGTCAAATGGGTTAATAGCATCCTCTCTAATATTTGGTGATTAATTGAGATAGTACAGTTAAGGTGCTTAGCACATTTTCTGGCATATGATAGATGCTCAATAAATTTTGATGTGACTTTAGAATGATTTAAAAAAATAGGATTCTAGCCAGGCGTGGTGGCACATGCCTGTAACCCCAGCACTTGGGAGCCTGAGGCAGGAGGAGCGCTTTGAGTTGGAGACCAACCTGGGCTACACAGTGAGTTCCAGGTTAGTCTTAACTACATAGCGAGACCCAGTCTCAAAAAACAAAAACAAAATAAATAAATAAATACAAATAAATAAATAAAAAATAGGATTCTACCAGATGTAGACTCATTGGTTACCTTTTATTCCAGATCTCTCAGAAGTTTGTGCTCCACTAGGAAACTATTTTGTCCTGTAAATCTGTTGCATTTCTCTGCTTTGACAGCCTAGTTAATTAATGACTACCATTTTAGACTCCAGGAAAACATTTTTGAAGTGCTGAGTCTGTTGGTGGGAAAACAGTCCTGTCAGTAAACAGAGCTACACTGTGGTTGTGGTAATCTTGTCTGTGCATCCCAGCTCCTGTTCCAGCACCCCCAGAAGCCTAGATTCTCTAGGAGTGCCTATGACCCTTTGGCCATTGCATGCACAAAAGCACTCTGTCCCGGCAGCTGCACTGGTGAGATCTAGAGAGACAGAATGAGTATCTGTGGCTTTCAGATGTCATATAGAGAAGGATTCATGGAGAAAGAATGAAGAAAGGCATTTGTTCATTAAAAAGGGCTTAAGTCTTAAGTTTGAATAGTTTTTCTTCTCCTTCAGCATGGAGATGTCTGATTAAATGAAGTCTGCATATAAAAATGCATTGTTGGAAGTGTTGGAAGTTCTGTTGGCTTGAATTGCTAATAACAGTGATTTGAGTGTAAGCCTTTAGAAACCTGTCATCCCTTCGGTCTGCACTGAACTTTGACACTGTTATGCAAAATTCTGGTGATGATGAGAAGGTGGAACAACTCCTAATTTTTCTGCTTTGGCAAAACTTGTAGCCCTAGGCAGCTGCATGGTGCCTCTTAACATTGAGATATGTGCTCTTTTTGAGTCTCACCTCCTAATCCGCCTTTGGGATTATGCTACTGGTGTCATACTAACATCAGAATCGGCACAAAGCCAGAGAGCTGATTCTTACTTTTCTTTCTCCTGCAGATGATCCCAGCCCTAGGCTCAGCACACAAGCTCAGGTCGCCGAGGATATTCTGGACAAATACCGTAATGCCATTAAAAGGTCCAGCCCCAGTGATGGAGCAATGGCAAACTATGAAAGTGCAGGTGATCATCATGCTAAAGATTCGAATACTGATTTTTTTATTATAGTGATAAAGGTAGTCTGAATTTAAGTAGTCTTTAAAAGAAAGGGCCGGAGATTTAGCTCAGTGGTTCTGCCTTCTGCCTTGGAAGTGCAAGTTCCCAAGTTCAATCCCCGGTACCAAGAAAGAAAGAAAGAAAAAAAAAAGAATAGCTAGGAGAATCATAATACTATTTCAAAATTACAGATTTTGTAACCAAACTAGATTATGATGTTTCTCCTTGTATTCTCCTGCTAAGCCTGGGCACATCCAGATCTTCTGGTGAGGTGGAGCTGTTGCCCATGAGTCTGGGGTGCCTGCCCAGCAGGAATGGTACATGCTTTAGTGGGAGGGCGTTCTTTTTTGCTATCCTCAGAATTCTAATTTCATCTGTTTACATCCTCTGGACATTGCTGCAGCAGTAGATTCCCAGGACAGTTTCTCCATTATTGCTTGGTACTTAGTTTTAAAGGATTCTATATGCCTTATAGTAGAATATCAATTAGCTGCCAGAAAACTGGTATAGTCCTCAAGGTTAATTAAAGGGAAACAAGTGTATAAATCATTAGTAGTATGCAGCATATATTTGTACCTGTGTGTTCAGAGTATGTTCTGGAAGAATTTTCAGCAAACTGGTAACCAGAGTTGGCTCTAAGAGGTGTGAGAAGAGAGGAGAGCTTATACACAGAATTGAGAAATAATACAGTGCACCTTTGACTTACAAACTCAGTTCGTTCACACACAAACTCTATTTGTTCTCAAAGGCTGGTTATAACTCAGGTTGGTCAGTTGAAGGCTCGGGCTCTTTTACACAGTCTTCAAAGTCTGTCTCCTGTATACAGGCAGATCTTAGAGTCCTTAGAGAGACACTGGCCCAGGATTTCTCAGTTAACACCACATGAGAAAGGATAGAATGTGCCTTCCAGAACTCTTTAAGGGTTAGATCTTATCTGAGACCATCTGGAAGCACAAGTGGCTGGTATTGAGTGGTAACTAACTCAAGACTTTGGTCATAAATTAAAACCAAAATTCTAGGACTAGAGATTTGGCTCAGTGGTTTTGCTACCTGCCTCACAAGCACAAGGACCTGAGTTCGATTCCTGGTACCAGAAACAACAAATTCTAGTCATAAACCAAGTTGTTCATATGTCAGGCCAGTCGAAACTCAAGGGTCCACTTTACAGTGAAGGTTTGTATACCATCAGTGTAGACTTACACATTTATTAACATTTTGTCCCATTTTCTGTTTTTTCATGAAGCATTTGAAGTTGTCTTCTAAGACTAAGGACATTTTTTTATGTAAACATAGTATCTTTAGAGCCAGGGATTTAGCTCAGTGGTGCCACACCTGCCTCAAAAATGCAAGGTCCTGAATTCCATCCCTGGTACCAACAAAAAACAACACAGTATCTTTATTTTTTTTGTTTATTTGTTTTTTGAGACAGGGTTGCACTATGTAGTTGAGACTGACCTGGAACTCACTATGTAGCCCAGGCTGGTCTCGAACTCACAGCGATCCTCCTGCCTCAGCCTCCCAAGTACTGGGCTTACAGGCATGAGCCACCATGCTCGGCTATTAGATTTGGGAACTTTTTGTTTCTTTTGATTGTATATATGCGTGTATTATCTATTCATAGTTAATTAAAAACATAACAGCTGTGAGAGCCACAGACCTGGCCTTGACTGCATTTGTGAGGGTCATTCTTGGGCACTATGGGCAGGCTGTTGGGAGCAGAATCAGGAGACCCAAATGCTTGGTCCACCTGAGCCATTTGGCCACACACGTTAGATGAGATTGGGCTTGTTTAGGATGTTACAGCCATAGACACCACAGGATTTAGAGCAAGGGATTTTCTGACGGGGCAGGAGTCTATGTCTATAAAATGACAATATTGTGCAAAATGATTTTTGAGATCTTTTAGTTGTGTGGTTCAGTGATTCTGATGATGGAATATTAACTTTATTCACATTTTCACTGTTTGGGGTTAAGATTGGGATAACAGGTAAAACTCTCTTCTCAATGCCTGCTCTCTTGATACATTATCATTGCTATGGATAACTTGGTTAAATGTTTGGTTTGTTTTCTTTCTCTCTGTTTTTCCCCAAAGGACTCTTTTTTTTTGGTACTGAGATCGAACTCGGGACCTTGTACTTGCGAGGTGGGTGATGGAACCACTGAGCTAAATCCCCGGCCCCCCAAAGAACTCTTTTTTTTTTTTTTTTTTTTTTTTTTTTTTTTTTTTAGTTAATTGAGTTTATTGGTACATTTTAGGTAGACAGTACAGTTACATTCATCATTGGTATTGTGTACCTTTACATGACAGGTCTTGGTTCTCATTCCCTTGTCCCTGCCCTCCCTTCACCCCCTCCTACTCTCCCCGTTTAAAAACACTTTGTTTCCATTTTTTCATTTTCTCATATTTTTTTTCTTTTCCCTTATTCCCTTTCCCCTACCCTTCCCATTTTCCCTACACCTTTAGCCCTTTTCTTCCTATTTTACATTGTCATTTATCTCATTAGGATCTTATGTACTGTTATAGTTTTTCACACCAGTGAAATTGTTCGGTATTTGCACATGTGTGACTTATTTATTTCACTTAGGAGTATATCCTCAAAATGTATCCATTTTCCTATGAATGAATCTAATTTCTCATTCTTTATGGCTGAGTAGTATTCCATTTTATAGAAAAACCACATCTTTTTTATCCAGTTTCCAACAGATGGGCAAATGGGCTGTTTCCAAGTTTTAGCTATTACAAACTGTGCCGCTATAAACATAGGTGCACATATATCACTGTGATTGCATTCTTTTAGTTCTTTTGGAAAGATACCCAGCAGAGGATGGCTGGGTCAAATGGAACCTCTAGTCCCAGCTCTTTGAGTTATCTCCATATTGATTTCCATAGTGGTTGCACCAGTCTGCACTCCCACCAACAATGGAGAGGGTTCCTTTCTCCCCACAACCCCGCCAACATTTGTTATTGTGTGATTTCTTGATAGTAGCCATTCTTTCAGGTGCTAACTTTTCAGAGTTGCTCTGAATATCTCCTAGTATCAGAATATTCAAAATTAACCTGGTTATCCTTTTCTTGGGGTTGGGTTTTGTTCAGAGGTCATTGGTGATGGTGAAAGTGCACATGATTCTCCTCGTGATGAAACGCTACAGAACATTTCAGCTGATGATCTCCCAGACTCTGCAAGCCAAGCAGCCCATCCTCAGGATTCAGCTTTCTCTTATAGGTATTTCTTTTGTAGGACTTTTGAGTTTGGACTTTTTCATCATCACTGCAGTCACAATTCACTAAGTCACTTAATAAATGTATAAAACATACAAATAAGAATGAAATGCTGCTGGGATTTAGCTCAGTGGTTCTGCTGCCTGCCTCGCAAGCATAGGGTCCCGAGTTCAATCCCTGGTACTGCAACAACAACAACAAAAGAATGAAATGCTGTTTATTAAGAACACTTGCTTCCCTTGTAGATATTATTTATCAAAGGCATTAATTCAGGGATTCAGAATCCGCATAACTGACTTAAGTGAAACAAGTAGCAGTGCCCCTGCATATGCAATGCCACTGTTGGTGTGTGACACAGCTGCGGAGGACACAGGTGGTTAGGAATCATCCTGCACTGGGATCAGCACAGAGTGACAGAATCATTTGTTGTCCCAGTAAACCTCCTGGAGCCCTCTTTTTGCCATCCTCTCTGTTCCTTGGATAGGCCTCAATTTCTGTCAGGGCTGGAGAAAGAAAATGACTTCCAGATTATGAGATGTTTGCCTTTGACAGGGAGCCTTTGCTTCCCAGAGAAGGAGCACCTGCTTTAACGCCCCAGTTAGTGTAATGATGTGCCCATTATCCAGATGCATTTTGACCTACTGTAGTTATTTCAAAGTAAAGTCAAAATAGCATATCATTTTATTTATAAATATTTTGAAACTATTTTTTTTCTACAGTAAAATTATGGAAGAGTAGCCAACATAATTTTTATTTTCAGCCACATTTTATTTATCATAAGATTTTTGAAACTGTATTATATTTAATCAGCTTGATTTCTAAATTATTCATAGGAAGAAATCCAGTAGGGAAGGACTCAGAGCTAGTCATCAGGTGGACAGGTGATAGCCCGTAGAGGAGGCACACTCTCTGGCCTTTCTTTGGATGGCCAATTTGGACATTCTGCTCCATGTACACAGGCCCAAGAAGGACCACAGGCTGCAATGCGGTGGAGGGTGGCCCCTACCTTACGAGAACTTTGCCACTGGGTGGGAGTAGGTGCTTCAAGCAATTAAAAGTTAAAAAGAATCCACTTTCAGCTCAGCATGAAACACTTCCAAGTGGCAGAGCAGTAGAAAGAGCTTCTTAGCAGGGGTGAGTTTGTCTTGTGGCAGGACCAGCATTTCTCAAGAGATACAATAGAAGGTGTTCTCACTTTAGGTGCGGTGTGGCATGAGTGATATCGGTGTCCCTCCTAACCGTGGCATGTATTCTGTCCTGGTTCCCTTCTGTGCTTGCTGTACATCTCAGCACATGATAGGAGGTCAGAAAGGACTCGATTCTAGCGGCAGTAAGGAGTGGTTCCTTGCCTCAGCACTTTTATAACCTTGCTTTCCGGGTTTTAGAAGCCTGTTGCTTGAGTGAGGTGTCAATAAGTTAAAAAATTGTCTTTTATTTTATTTATTTATTTATTTTTGTTTTGTTTTATGAGACAGGGTCACACTACGTAGGTAGTTGAGACTGACCTAGAACTCACTATGTAGCGCAGGCTGGTCTCGAACTCACAGCGATCCTCCTGCCTCAATCTGCCGAGTCCTGGGATTACAGGCTTGCGCCAAAATGCCCAGCTTCAAAATTCTTTTATTTTATTTTTTTATTTTTATTTTTTTCCATCTCTAAGGAAAGTTTTTAATGTATTGCACTATATGTCAGACTGCATAAGAGAAAAATAGCTTTTATTAAGTCAAGGAAAGTATTTATTTTAGATATATAATAAGGATCCATTATAGCTATATCTATAATGTATATATATATTATATATATAAAAATATATATCTATATCTATAGATATAGATATATATATAAGGAAACATTTTAGATATATAAATATTAAACAGATAATTTATTTTCTTATCAATCTGATCTTACAGCAAAATTCTTTTAAATGACCATCTGAAACATTTAAGTTGTGAGGTAGCATATTAACCTGTATCGTAAATATTCATAAATTAAGACTACTTCTGGCTGCTGTAGCTTAGTGGTAGAGCACATTGTTATCATGCACCAGGCCTTAGATTTGATCCCCTGCAATGTGGGTGCACACATGCACACAAATACACATGACCATGCCTGGATTTTAAAAATTAATAAATTCTTTCTTCACTTTTCAGAGATGCAAAAAAGAAACTAAGACTTGCTCTTTGCTCTGCGGATTCTGTTGCCTTCCCAGTATTGACTCATTCAACAAGGAATGGATTACCAGACCATACAGACCCAGAAGGCAAGTTGCTGCAAATAGTTTAATTTTTTGTTTACATTTATGCTTGAACCATACAGCATTGCAAATATTCAGCTGTTCTACTGCACAGACATTCCATGACTGAATGTCTCTTTTCTTTCGGTGCTAGGCATTGAACCCAGGGCCTTACACATGTTAGGCAAGCACTTTACCACTAAACTATGCTCCCAGACCCCGCCATTTTTTTAAATGACAGGCTCTTGGCAAGTTCCTGGACTGGCCTCCAAGTTGAGGTCCTCTAGCTCAACTTTTTGAGTAGCTGAGGTTATAGGCAAGAGCCACCATGCCCAGATGAATTGACCTAATACTTTTTTTTTTCTTTTTGGTACTGTGGATCCAACTCTGGACCTTGCACTTGCGAGGCAGGCAGCAGAACCACTGAGCTAAATCCCTGGCCCTCGACTTAATACATTTATGTTAGTGTTGTGTAGTTATTAAGGTCACTTTGAGTACTGCTGGTTCATTAAAGTGCTAAGTGGGAGTGGCGCTACTGATTAATCTGCATGATCCATGGTACAATAGAACTAATAACCCAGATGCTCACAGGTTTCACAGTTTATGTAAGCCCATGGAAATAATAACAATTTTGTTTTGTTTGTTTGTTTGTGTGTTTTTATTTAGACAATGAAATTGTTTGCTTCTTAAAAGTTCAAATAGCTGAAGCAATTAATTTACAAGATAAGAACTTAATGGCCCAACTTCAAGAAACAATGCGCTGTGTGTGCCGATTTGATAATAGGACTTGTAGGAAACTGCTGGCATCCATCGCTGAGGACTACAGGTAATGCCCACAGCCTTTTCAGCTCCTCAACCTGACTTCTAGCTGCAGTGTTTTCCTTTTGGTCCTTCTTTCAGAAATGAATCTAGGTTTACTACAAAGTTTGTGGCTATGTTTTTCTGAATGTAGATTTCTAAGCAACACATTCCAGAAATGTAGTTATAAGTGAGCTACATTCACTAATAGAGAAATACAGTTTACTACGTCAGCTTTCTTTTTTTTTTTTTTCGGTTTTTTGAGGCAGGGTCTCACTATGTAGTTCAGACTGCTCTGAAACTCACTGTGTAGACCAGGCTGGTCTCGAACTCGCAGCGATCCTCCTGCCTCAGCCTCCCGAGTGCTAGGATCACAGGCGTGCGCCACCACACCGGTGCTTACTTCAGATTTCTACAAAAGCAGATAGAGAGGTTTGTCTCAATTGTGAGACCGGGATAACTTTGTTATCTCTTTCATTTTTTTTTTAGGGATGTCAGGAAAGACTACTTGTCTGGGCAGAGAAGCAGCAGTAGCCCTAGAATTTGTTACCTAGCTTTGGCTGCCAGCGTTATGCTCATGGTTATGGGAAGACTAACTGAGATGCCCAGGCAGTGCAGCAGCTTTGAGGCTGAGGAGATGATTGTTTTAATGCTACCTTTACACTGTAAGCATATAATTGGTGAGGGGTGTTTAATGGCCGTGTGTTTATTGCTGTGTTTTGCTAGGTTTTTAGCAGTCAATTCCTGCTAAGTATGAGATCCTACCAGTGTGGAGATCATGCTTCAATGTAAAGTGGGCCAAGTGTGCAAAGGGGCTTAGTGACATTTAGTGAGTTGTGTAGCTAACTGGCCCCGTAGCTACTTCGGATCACAGACCTGCGCAGTGCTCCATTTCTTGAGGTTGGAGAGGAACAGTCCCCAAGACACTTGACTGTGTCCCCGTTTGCCAATTTGCAAAACCAGAGTCAGTGAAAGTAAATTAAAAAAAAAAAAAAATCAAGACTCAGATTTGTCAAAGAAATGTGTACTTTACATGTCTCCTCCTGCAAGGCATTTTTCCTTTTAGGAAACGAGCCCCATATATTGCATACCTCACTCGTTGTCGACAAGGGCTGCAGACTACACAGGCTCACCTGGAGAGGCTCTTGCAAAGGGTTTTGCGTGACAAAGAGGTGGCCAATCGATATTTTACCACTGTCTGTGTGAGATTACTGCTTGAGAGCAAAGAAAAGAAGATTAGGGAATTCATTCAAGGTAACTAAATACCTTTTAATGAAACCTCTTGCCCTGCTGACGCTGGTTTATTGTGAAGGCTGATTGAGCGAGGGGCTGCTGCTGGGCTGGTGGGAGGCTGAGCAGTGTGGGGCCGCCTCTACTCCTCTCGCCACGGGCATGCGCGGAGGGTGCCGAGTGTACGGGCCTGAGGTAGAGATGGTGGCGGGAACCGGAGCCGCGGGGTGTCATGGCCCTAGTGGAGCCGAGGGCATCACGGTCCTGTTTCCCACTGTGCGGTGGCCGGAAGGACCATAAGTATTTAATTCATATATTTAACCCCCTTCAAAGAGATTGAAACTATTCTGGAACAGCTGTTTGGACCTTCATTATTAAAAGGTCTGTTTATTTTAGAATAAATTTTATTTTATCCCATTCCCCTCTTACACTCTGTCCCTACCCTATGTACAAAAGCTGTGTTTCCATTTTTTTTTTCTATTTTCACTTTTTTTCCTTGTCGCTGCCTTCCTTTCTCCTTCCCATGTTTCTTATTGGACTTTTTTTTTTTTTTTTTTCCTGGTACCGCGGATTGAATTTAGGTCCTTGCGCTTGCGAGGTAGGCAGTGGAACCTCTGATTAGACTGTTGATAAAAATTTCCTGTTCTTTTGCTTGAGAAAGAGATCAAATAAAGGGATATTTGTCTGCCTTGGGAGGTGGGCAAGAATCTTTGCTTAAACAAAAGCAAGTAATGAAACCTCTTCAGCCATATGTTACTGGGAAGAATGTGAAATTTTATTGTTTTGCTCTGCTAGTTTGTGTAAATACCTGCATACCATAGAAAAGCTGCTTAAATTAAAATTGATTCCAGTTTACTGTTGTGAAAAGAGGTGACTAACAGATTTTTAGGATTTAAAAAATTTTTTTATTTAAAAAATTTTATGCCATATTTTTATGTTAGTGCATATTGGTTGTACAGATTAACCTTTCTTTGTCAGATTTGTACATGCACATAATATGCTTTAATCCTTTTACCCTGTTACCCGCTTTGCCTCACCATTCCTCCTAGTTTTTATATTTCGAGGTGGGATTTTTAATGTGTATGATGTATTTTTATCATATTTATCCCCCTTTTATGGGTTATTAATAATTAAATTTTGTTGTCAGTTCTCTTAAGTTGCATTATTTTCTCAGGCTGAATAATTTTAAAAGCAGGGTAGTTGGTAAAATTTTGCCACACAGTATTCCCTATTTTCAAACACCAGTACATAGTGTATGTGTGTATATATCACGTACACAATGTGTATATCTCTATACATGTGCATACAATGTATATGTATACAATGTGTGTATGCATACAATGTGTGCATGTATACAATGTATATATGGATACACAGGTTCTTTTTTTTTTTTTTTCTCTAGTACCCGGGATCAAACTCAGGAATACATATTTTTAATAATAAAAACTTCTTACACTTAAATGTTTATAGATTTCTTACTTTGTCAGGTTTTCATGATTTGGCTGCATAGTTCCCTAAAATAAATCACATTCAAACACTGTTGGCTTTAAGAGTGACTGAAATTGTGCCTCTCCACTGGTCTCTTTTGTCCATGATGGGTATGTCCCACGACCCCCAGAGAATGCCTGAGACTGGATGGTACTGAGCTCTGTACTATGCTGATAACTCAGGTGGTTCACATCCTGGCTGGATGAAGCAGAGTTTTCTTCCTGCTACTCAGAATGGCGTACAATTCAAAGCTTAAGAATTGTGTATTTCTGGAGTTTCAGTACTTTCTGATTAAGAATAACTGAAACTGTTCATATGGGTATGTGATTATATGTACCCATTTATGTAAAATTTCACATGAAGTGCTTTTTTTTTGGTACATTTTAGGTATACAGTACAATTGCATTCATTGCTGGGATCTGGTACCTTCACATGACAGGTCTTGGTTCTCATTTTTTTCCCCTTGTCCCTGCCCTCCCTTCGCCCCCTCCTCCCTCACATGAAGTGATTTTAAATCAGTCCTGTAATACATTTTTTACGATTATTCATATCATAAATTTTAAAGATTATTATTTTGCATTGGAGACTTTCAGAAACTCACAGCAGCTGATGATAAAACTGCTCAGGTAGAAGATTTCCTGCAGTTTCTTTATGGTGCGATGGCCCAGGATGTCATATGGCAAAATGCCAGTGAAGAGCAACTTCAGGATGCTCAGCTGGCCATTGAACGAAGTGTGATGAATCGGATTTTCAAGCTTGCTTTCTACCCTAACCAGGATGGGGACATACTTCGTGACCAGTGAGTGCTCCTGTGTTGAATGTGTGTGTTGGACCACATGGGCTACAGCAGGTAGTCCCATACTTACGCAAGTGGGTGTTTAGTATCTCATAGCAAAGAAAATCTATTAGGTACCATTTTTCTCTCATCAGAGCTACATGATAAAAGAGAATGAGGGCTGGGGATTTAGCTCAGTGGTTCCAGCGCCTGCTTCTCAAGCGCAAGGGCCCGAGTTCATCCCTGGTACCAAAAAAACAAACAAACAGCAACAACAACAACAAAAAAAAACCAGAGAGAATGACAATACCTGGTTTTCAGAGCTGTGGCAGTCAGACTAGAGGGAAGATGAAAGTCTTTTTGGATGGCACTGCTGTGTACTGTGCCTCAGATGTTCTTCCTTGCCTCTGTGTGATGAACTCTTAACACTCAGATCCCTTCCCTGGGAAGTAACCTGCTTAAATCCCCTCTGGGCTCTCTCAGGTCTAATACCTTTCTTCAGCACTTTTGCAGTTGCCATTTGCCATTTGTTTGAATCACAGTTTCGCATTGCAGCACTACTGTACATTGGGTCCACGGGAGGTTTTCATGTACTAAGATGTTGAGCAGCATCCCTGGCCTCTGTACTCTAGATGTCCAGCCAGTTGTGACAATTAGAAATGCTTCCAGACAGTGCCAAATGTCTCTGAGGGATGAAATTCTCACCTGTTATTGATCACTGTTTTTTGTGTGAGCGTGTGTTCGTGCATGCGTGCGCGCGTGTGTGTGTGTGTGTGTGTGTGTGTATTTGAGACAGGGTCCCACCCTGTAGTTTGGGCTGGCCTTGAACTCACTGTGTAGTCCATACTGGCCTGGAACTCATGGGGTCCTCCTTTCTCATCCTCCCAAGTGCTGAGATTACAGGTGTGGGCCACCATGCCCAGCTGATCACTGGTTTGTGTGATTATTTGAAAAAAATGCTTGTTCCCCTACTGGATTTCCCCCCTGTGACTTCTGAAGAAAATTATTTTATTCGCCACTATGTTAAAATATCAAGCATGGTGCTTGGCTTCTAATATGTGCTCATTATATATTTACTAGGAATGAGCAGTTATATATTTGAATATCAACAAATAACCTGGAATTGTGTGGTACTGAATATGAATTATATCTCAGAATTTATTGTGGTATTAGGAACCGAACCCAGGGATTTTGTACTGGGCTACATCCCCAGCCTCTTATCTTTATTTTGGGACAGGGTCTTGCTGAGTTACCTAAGCTGGGCTTAAACCTGAGATCCTCCTGCCTCAGCCTCCCAGCTTTTTTAAAAAGGGGTTTGAATGTAACTCAGTGGTAGAGTACAGAAGGCCCTGGAATGAATGAACATGTGGATGGATGGGTAGATAGTACTCTTTCAAAAAAAAAATTCTAGAATAGTAACTTTGGTTATTTTAGGGTATTGAGGGTATGAAGGATTTAGCAGTTTTGTACAGATTGAACCCAGGGCCTCATGAATACTCAGCAAGCACCCTACTGCTGAGCTACACCCCCAGCCCTTCATATATTTTAAGAGATTGGACATACATACGAGAGAACTCACTTTCTGGTGAAATGTGCCTGTCTTGGTTTCATAGTCTCAGAGGTGTATCCTACCCCAGGCCCGCATTATATCCACAGCACTAGATAAATTTTATTTGCTTCTTTTTTTGTTTGTTTGTTTTGTTTTGTTTTTGAGACAGGGTCTCACTATGTAGTTGAAATTGACCTGGACCTCACTATATAGCCCAGGCTGGTCTCAAACTCACAGTGATCCTCCTGCCCCAGCCTCCCGAGTGCTGGGATTAACGGTGTGTGCCACCACACCCGGTTTACTTCTTTATTTTTAAGTTGTATTAGTATACATTTGCAGTACAAAGTGTTTCCATTAATTATTTGTGCACAACGTATCACAATTCCTTTTTCATCCCCTCCCCTTTTCCCTCTCACTCCCTCCATCTCTTGATCCCTTTCCCATTTGAAAATGATTTAATTTATCTCCCTACTTCCTATTATCTTTTATTTTGCTCTTATTTATATTTTGAATTTCTCAGAGAAACCATGCAATATTTAAGTTTGTGTGTCTTAATTATTTCACTTTTAACATTATGGTCTTAAGGTACATCCATTTTCTTAGAAATGACTCAAGTCTTCACGCAGCATTGTTCTCCATTGTATAAACACCACATTCTTTATCTGTTCATCTGTTGGTGGACATAGGGGTTGCTGCCAAGATTTGGCGGTTATGAATTGTCCACAACACCAGATGTTAGCATCAGGCATGAAATAAAGAAAGTTTGGCTGGGGATGCAACTCAGTAGTAGAGAACTTGCCTACGATTTACATATGAGGCCCTGGGGTCAAACACCAATATAGGAGGAAAAAAAGGAGGTGGGGCTGAATTTATAGTTACAGCAGCAGCTTCGAAGCCAGGTACTCCTCCCCACTTCTCTGTGGCATTTCTACAGGCTTTACAGAGGGTGGAGCAAGCATGGTGTCTGGAAAGAACCCTAAAAGCTGGGAAAATGATTTAGCCCTCATGACTAAGGCACCTCTTTTACCTCTTCAATCCTAATTATCTCCATTACAAAATGAGGCTTTGGCTGGATGGTACAGTGACGCATCTGACAGCAGTGAGCTTTGGTTTCTGGATCTTGATCCTTTTTACATCATCTCACCTTTTCCTCTTCTCTGCTGAATAGTGTGTCTTTAGACTGCTCTTCCAGTCTAGGAGAGGAGGGCTTTCCTTCTGTCCCTGCACCCTCTCAGTCCACTCAGCATTTCTAAGCAGACCCTAAGTAGGAGGGGGTGGCACAGTACTGGGGGTTACATCTCCAGCCTTATTTTTTGGGGCAGTGTCTTGATAAGTTGCCTAGGTTGGCTTTGAATTTATAATCCTCCTGCCTCAGCCACCTCTGAAGCAGGGATTGCAGGCATGTACCAGTCTGCCTGGGAATGTGGGCCATTTTTGGCAAGAGTACTTATGGCTAAGAGAGAATCTCAGCTGTAATTGTAATCTCTATCTAGAAATTGCTCTGAAATATTTCAGCGTTTTTGAAAAAAATTCATTATGTGTATTGTGTCATATTTTTTGAAATGTATATTTACATCTGTATTTTGGGGAATTTTCAGGGTTCTTCATGAACACATCCAAAGATTGTCGAAAGTAGTGACTGCAAACCACAGAGCTCTTCAGATACCAGAGGTACTTCGGGTTTATGTGACATGGGTGATGTTAATAAAGCTGTCATGCATGTTGTCAAGGAACTAGAGTACCGCAGAACACAGAACACCTGTTTGTTTTGGTACCAGGGATTGAACTCAGGCCCTTGTGATGGCAAGGCAGGCAGCAGAACCACTGAGCTAAATCCTGACCCCATTTTTTTTTTTTTTTTTTTTTTTTTTTTGAGACAGGGTCTCACTATGTAGTTGAAACTGACCTGGAACTCACTATGTAGCCCAGGCTGGTCTCGAACTCACACCGATCCTCCTGCCTCAGCCTCCCGAGGGCTGGGATTACAGGCGTGTACCACCACACCTAACTAGAACACCATTTATATTAGGTGTTCTTCACTCCGTCACATACCCAATGGGACTTCAGGGGGATGGAAATGGACCTCAGTAGAGGAGAGTCAGCCCTTCTCTAGAATGACTGGGCCTAGCAGAACTTCTGTCCCAGCCCTGCACCCCTCATGCTGCCTCAGCACCCTGACAGTCTGATTTCTGCGTAGCCATCCCATTTAAAGAAGGGCCTGGCTGGTGACCCTCCAAAGAGAGTGAGAACTGTTGTTGGGGAGGAAATAATGGCTCAGGTTACCTTTTCGTTACTGATATTGGTGTTTTCACCTGGCACACATTTCTTACAAAATAAGTAAACTGGAAAGTGTCATCTCAGCTTTCTGGTTGTGTTTATTAAATTTCCCACTAATGGAACATTAACTAGTGTAAAATTTTTAACTGTCTTTGGTTTTTTGAACCTTTTGTTTCTACCACTATAAGAAAGATACGTATTAGTTTTTTGTTTTGTTTTGTTTTTTGTTTTTTTGTTTTTTTAAGACAGGGTCTCACTATGTAGTTGAGACTGACCTGGAACTCACTATGTAGCCCAGGCTGGTCTCGAATTCACAGCTCACAGCGATCCTTCTGCCTCAGCCTCCCAAGTGCTAAGTGCTGAATTAAATTTTATTACAGAACAATGAAAGTGTTCAGGAAATTTAATTGGTTAACTGCATATATTTTTAAATGAGACAGAACAATACATTATTGTAACTATTACACAACAATTACAGTTCTACAAATAATCACCCTTCTAAGAAAATTGTATTATATATTATTCAACAAAAAATTCTCATTGAGCATTTTACATATTATATATGTATTTATGTACATATGTATGTATGTATATATGAACAAAAAGTAGCCAAAGTGAAAAGGGGCCTTAACAGCATGTTTGTGCCCCATTTATCTTGTTCAGACTTACAGAGAGAGATCTGGTTGTGTTTATTAAATTTCCCACTAATGGAACATTAACTAGTGTAAAATTTTTAACTGTCTTTGGTTTTTTGAACCTTTTGTTTCTACCACTATAAGAAAGATACGTATTAGTTTTTTGTTTTGTTTTGTTTTTTGTTTTTTTGTTTTTTTAAGACAGGGTCTCACTATGTAGTTGAGACTGACCTGGAACTCACTATGTAGCCCAGGCTGGTCTCGAATTCACAGCTCACAGCGATCCTTCTGCCTCAGCCTCCCAAGTGCTGGGATTACAGGGGTGCACCACCACACCCGGCTCCATATTAGTTTTTAAATTATCTTTTTTAGTAGTTTGTGCTTTTGGAATCAGCCACTAAGTATACAGAAGTTTCATTTTAACTATGTAAGAAATATAATTGTTTAGGGCGGGGGAATTAGCTCAGTGGTACAGCGCCTGCCTTGAAAGCACAAGATCCTGAGTACCAAAGATCCCTGGCACCAAAAAAAAAAGAAAAAGAAAGTTTGAAATTTTCTGAATTCTAAGTTCTATGTTACTATATATACACTTTTCTCTATTAATGGATACCTAAGTTGCTCTGTTTTAAAATGCAAAGCAAGCCGGGCTTGGTGGTGCAGGCCTGTAATCCCAGCATTCAGGAGGCTGAGGCAGGAGGATCGTTGTGAGTTCAAGACCAGCCTGGGCTACATAGTGAGTTCCAGGTCAGTCTCACCTGCATAGTGAGACCCTGTCTCAAAAAACCAAAAAACCAAAATAAAAAAAGCAAAGCAATTGTATAAAAGTTTAAGGGGCACACTGTAATCTTGGGTGGAAGGATAAGGAACTACAGTATGGCTTCATTGAAAAAAGATAAAAGCAATCACCTGGCCCCTGCCTCCTCACATGGAGGTGGCTGTGGTCTCGTGCCCTGCACTAATGGCTGCTGAGTCTGGGATCTACGTGTTGTATGTGTTCTCCCTTAGGTTTATCTTCGAGAGGCACCGTGGCCATCTGCACAGTCCGAAATCAGGACAATAAGTGCTTACAAAACCCCCCGGGACAAAGTGCAGTGCATCCTGAGAATGTGCTCCACAATTATGAATCTCCTGAGCCTGGCCAATGAGGATTCTGTCCCTGGAGCCGATGACTTTGTCCCCGTGTTGGTGTTTGTGTTGATAAAGGTGGGTCCCTTGCTGCGTTTGGTTACTGAGTGTGTGTGGCAGCTTGAGAAGGGTGGCACAGGGCTTTCACGTGGTGTTAGAGACCCAGGCTCTTTTCAAGTCTTAAGCTCCGTGTCACCCAGAAAGTGTCTAATGGCAAGATTTATTCCATTCAGTAGTTAGGGTTTTCAAAAGAAAGGACAGGAGGACCAATTCTAGACAGCACCGTCAGCTCTTAAAGCAGTGCCTCAAATCTGGGTTGGCGCTTAGCATGCAGTCACTGAGTAAGTGAATGAGGGCAGTGTCTTGGGTTTTGCATCATCTTTCATAGTGTTTGTTAGGTAGACCATCTCTCCTCTCTGTAGCTTTTTATTTTGAATTTTACAGTATTATTTGGACATGACTATATCTTGTCTTTCTTTGACCTTTAAAATTAAAGTTTTAATCATTTAAACAGTTTACTTTTCACTCTTGTTATTTTTGTTTTTTATTTTTAATTTTTTAATTTTTTTGGTTTTTTGAGACAGGGTCTCACTGTATAGTTGGAACTGACCTGGAACTCACTATGTAGCCCAGGCTGGTCTCAAACTCACAGTGATCCTCCTGCCTCAGCCTCCTGAGTGCTGGGATTACAGGCGTGTGCTACCACGCCTGGCCCACTCTACATTTTGAGTACACATAGTCCCTCACTTGTGTGTTCCAGCTAGCACAATCCAGCCATTGATGTCGTTCCTTTTTTTGTTGTTGTTCCCCTGCAAGGCTCAAGATCGAACCCAGGGCCTCATACATACTAGGGAAGCACTGTACCACTGAGCTGCATCCTCTTGCCTCAGCTTCCTAGATTATAGGCATGATTATAGGTGTCTGCCATCATGCCCACTAATTCATAGCACTGGTGATATTTTGCACTTCTCACCTTAGAGTCAGAAACTCAATATATCAGCCATTGCTCCTCTCTCTTTTGAATATGATCTAACTAGTCCCCCTGTAAGAGCCAGGCTAAGCTAATTTTAAGGAGAAAGGGCCTTAGCTTTTTCTCCTAAACATCTAACTTGTGTCTTTTCTTTCCACACAAAGAAAGTGAAAAAAACAGGAATGTTTTGTTTTCCCTTTTGCTACAGAGGACATGTTTCCCTGCTTGGCTGATTCTACCTGGACTTATCAACCAGATGTAACTCACTTTGCCTGCAGTGTTTGTTTTCTTGCCTGTGCTTCTGAAGTTTTGGAATATGGAGTTAGAGTATGGGGCTTAGTTCAGCCTCCTTGGAGATCAGTAAGACTAGGTGACTTGCCAGGATGGAGGGATCTCAATAGTTCAGCTAGGATTGGAACTGAGCTGTTGTTACTCAGAGTACCTGTTACTTACAGACTACTTCCAAAAAGCAAGTCAGACTTTCTTCTCCTCCCTCCCTCCCTCCCTCTCTGTATTCCTTCCTGTTTTTTTTTTTCTTTCTTGGGTTTTTGACATAGGGTCTTGCTGTGTAGCACTCAGGCTGGCCTTGAACTCACAACAGTCCTCCTGGTTCGGCCTCCCAAGTGCTAGGATTACAGGGATACGCCACCATGCCTGGCTCAGAGCTTTTTTTCCAGAAGAACTAGTATCTCCCAGAAGAACATTTGAACAACACTTAGTGAGGTGGTTGTACCAGAGCCCAGCATCTGAGCAGTCTACTCTTCTGTTTCTCACTTCTCTAGGCAAACCCACCCTGTTTGCTGTCCACTGTGCAGTACATCAGCAGCTTCTACGCCAGCTGTCTGTCAGGAGAGGAGTCCTACTGGTGGATGCAGTTCACAGCAGCAGTGGAGTTCATTAAGACCATCGATGACCGGAAGTGACAGAGACCAGGGCCCGCCACGGCAGCAGACTGTTAACGGGGCAGACAGATCTCTAAGAAAATGAAGCACTGCTTCAAAGGCTGAAGATTGTTTTGTATGATATTGTACAGTGTTCAGACCTTTTAAAACAGATCTTTACTAAGCAGATTAATGAGCTAACAAGCAGGTTCTCTTTTCTTTGGGCTCTTTTCCTTTCTTAGTTGCATATTTTATTTTCTTGTCCCAGGTAGAGAATAGTACTTCAAAAAGGGACCACATTTTTCAGGTATTTTGAAATAACAAAGACTAGAACAAAATCTCTTAGGAAATTCCGAGAATTTCATTCACGGATACTCTATTCTTTCCTTTTTAAAAAACAAAAAACAACAACAACAAAAAAGTACACCTCTTTTAAGATGCTGTCTTACGTGCATCTAATGGAAGGAAAATATCAGCTGCACTGAGGATCATAATAGTGGTGCATTTGTGGCATTATCTATAAATACACTTACCTAAGTTGAAAAGCTAAGAAGGAAATGTAAATATAATATATATTTATATTTGATGTAATATGGACCTCTTCAGATTCTAATAAACAAGGACTATTGTTGGTAGTAGGTTGTGACATACCCTTTTGTGAAATGGTTTCCTTGACAAAATTTAAGCTGAGCTTAAAAGCAAAATACATAAAACATACAGAAATATTTATTAAAGGGGGAGATAGTTTATTGCACTGGGTAGAGACCCTGATAAGTCACACAAGTGTATCTCTCGGTGGCCGTGGTGACCCTGCATGTCAAGGTGGACTCTGATTACCTTGCATTACGCTACAAGGAACAGTAGACATCTAGTACTTTATTATGATACTTCTCATCTGAAATACTGAGTATACTATAGAAACCCCAGACAGCTCCTTAGTAACCTTTAATTGTAATCTATTTTTGATGATTATTCACATTGAATGCATAGACCAGGAATTCAGTGAATGTCATTTTTTAAAACTAATTTGTATTGTCTGCTCTAGTGATACAAGTTTTACTAGTGATAAACTATTTTAATCAACCATACTATTCTTACAGAAAAAAAAAAAATCTATTTTGGCAGATTTCTGTGCCTTTATTTCCCTCTTCTGAAAAACAAGTGTACGTTTCAGAGTTTGATTTTCATTGTGTATTGATAACTAATCAGAAATGGGCTTTGGTGCCTGGGCAGCTGGCCCATGAAGCAAGAGCTCCAAGCACAAGTCCCATCTTCGGCCACCAACTGGCCACCATCACTTTGTATGTTTCCTAAATTGTAGCTTCTTTTATATCACCTGCAGCCTCATGTCTTTGAGTCCCTTGTTGCTGGCAGCATTTTCTAAGGGAACTGTGATCACCAGCCTTGAGCAGGTGCGTACAAAAGCTGTCTGCTCCCCTCCCTGCAGCTCTGTGTCTCCTCATGATGGAAGGAGGTGGGTTTTCTTCATGTTTCCACCTCTTCCCATTCATTTATTTTTAAATGCCAAAATAATAAGATGGATAGGAGTATGGATGTGGTTTCTTGCCTGTTAGGGAGAGATAAAAGCCAAACTAGTACTACAGAATGTCCCTTTGAATGTTAGGTCAAGAAACCCTTCTACAGAGTAATGTGCTTCACGGGCCTGGGTGTTAGAAGTCCGATCCCAGCATAAACACGTTGCAAGACACACTGTGTGACGTGACTTCGAGACCTGGAGGGAATCGATTCACTTCAGCATTTGATTGAAAACTGTTAACAGAAGACCTTAAATAGTTGGAATTCACTGTTGTGGGACTTGACTCATCAATCAAGGAGAGATTTTTTTTTTTTCTTTTCAAAGGTAGCGAAATATATTCCATGTTGTTACTGTGGAAATAAATATGAAGATGTGGACATCATGCCAGGGCTCTTTTCTGTGAAGAGGAGGAGGTGGATTTGGGCTGTGGAGCTGCCCTGGAGGCAGGAAATGGGGCTTGGCATTGCCCAGGCCTGTGATGAGGTGGCATTTGGCCTTGGTGCGGTGCTGGCAGGGGGAGCACAGTAGGTGTCTCAAAGGAGCTCAGTTTCCCCCTGAAAACCTTGTCAGAAGCAGGGAGGGCTTCGGCAGTAACCAGTTTACAGGTCTGACCTCATGCTAGGCTTTCTGTAGGTGTTGGCTTCTGGATTCAGGAAGTAGCCACTGTAAGATGTGCAAGACAGCATGACTTGATTTTTGTTTTTTCAGGAAAGAGAAATAATTGTTCTTCAAATGTTTCTTACTACCTTCTAGTACTTGTTTTACATGAATGCAAAAGTACAAAATCACCCTTGGGAAACCTTCAGTAGCCACCAGTTATGACAGAATTTGCCAAGTTAATGGTTGTCCGATGGGTAGATAGTGGCTCAGCTCACTGAAGTCTTACAGAATTTAAGAAGTTATAACTTCTTTTAAAGAAAAGAAAAATCAGTGTAGTTTTACTAATATTCTTCTGCAACTAATAGAAGTTTAGATGGAAGATTATCTTTCCTTGTACAATTATTTTTTGGGGTTTTTTTGTTTGTTTTTGTTACGGGGGAACTTAGGACCTTATACTTGCGTAGCAGACGGCGGAACCACTGAGCTAAATCCCTGGCCCAGTACAATCACTTTTTAATAAAATTGGTAAAAGTACCTGGGCGTCGTGGTGCGCACCTGTGATCCCAGCACTTGGGAGCTGAGGCAGGAGGATCGCTGCAAGTTTGAGGCCAGCTGGGGCTACATAGTGAGTTCAAGACCAACCTGAACACATAGCGAGGCCCTTGTCTCAAAGAAACAAAAAGAAGGGAAAAAAGTAAACATTTTGTTTTCTCTCTTCACGTTAGGTAAAAGCCACATTAAGTGTGTTGTTTTGCTCTTTCTCTATCAAGACCTGATTAGAAAGCTTTTTCTGGGGGCTTGAAGGTAGCTGTGATGCATGGTTTTTCTTTTCCTGGTGTGTCCCAGAAAACTTTGTTTCAAGTGGCTGTCACAGATCCATGTCCACAGGCTGCATAAGCAAGAGAACAAAAAATGTGGCCCACACACTAAGCTGTGTTCTTGCCACGGGAATCTGAACCCAACACTGTCCAACCCAGGCAGCGTGGCCCTGTTGCCGGCCGTGGGGTTCCAGGCTGGGCCAAGTGAGATTCAGCCATGTGTGTTACATGTATGAGGTCTGAAAATGACTTCATCAGATGTGACAGGGTCTGGTGAGGGGAGGCAGGAGCACACTTGGCAGACTCACTAGTGGCCCGCCTGGATGTGATGGGATTTGTTGCCGTGGCTGTCCTCAGGTTCAGAGCAGGTGGCCTCCCACTCTTCTGCCTCTGCTTCCCTCTTCTGTGTCTTTGGAGGAAGATCCGTTTTCCCTTTGTGGATCCTTTAAGCCTAGTGAGTTGAATTATATGTAATCGCTATAATTTGGGTGGGGAATGCTCAATCTTTTTGAAGTGCAAAACATGTTTAGTAAGTGGACTAAGCAATATTTGAGATACTTTGAATGCCAACATGCTTGAGAGCTTTGCCAGTAATGACTTAATGTATGTGGAATGTAGGTTACTAAGAAGCAGAGTGTCAGGACTGCTTTATTACTCATGAGAACACTTGGAGAAATGAAGGTGGAGTCTGCAGCAGAGCTGCAGAATCCAGGGGAAGCGGCATGACCTACAGCGGAGCCTAGCAGAGAGAGGGCAAGCTCAGGAGGGAGGGAGGGCGGTGGCGGGGCCTGGTGCTCCACAGACCTGTCTCTGCCGAGGAGCAGCCTGCCTTGTTGATCGTATCATCCTGTGCTTCCCCATACTAAAAAGCCTTGTACTGCCTCTCCTTGAAACTGGTAACATCTTATATAAAACTTGCTCAGTGAGCCTGTGCCATCTTGTATGTGAGCAGGAACCCATCCTGTGTCCCAGTGTGATTGCTGTGTATGGGCATCGTTGTGTAAAACTGATTAAAAGGGAGAGCAGTTTCACTCACTGGACCTTAGCATCTCTGAAAATTTGACTTCACGAATTCATTCTTGTCTTTTTTATCTGCATATCTAAGGACACTTGCCCAAATGGCACAGGAAAGAGCTATAATTGAACCACAGTCACTGACAAGACAGTGAACAGCTACTGTCTAAAGGTTCCTGTCTGACCTCGGTATTTGGTGCCTGTTCATCAGCCTCAGTCCTAGACACCAGAGTGTTACCGTCTAGTCACAATGTTCACGGGAGCCTTCCCAGACCTGAGTGGAGTGAATTTACTGTTGGATCAGAGCCCTGGCTCCTCTGGAGGCCTCCCTTGAAAGTGACAGTTCTTCCCCTGTATTAACTGCACGTGATTCAGAAGAAAACTTTTTTTTTTTTTTTTTTTTTGACAGGGT